CTGTCGCGCGCTAGCAAGAAGGTGACTGACGAAGCCAACAAGCGTCGACGCGTCGTTGAGCAAAGGAGGAAAAGAAGGAGGACAAGAAGAGCCGCTCTCAGTCTCGCAAGCGTGCCAGCATCTTCGGCAACTTCTCGGAAAGAAGGAGGAGCATGAGGAGAAGAAGGACGAGCAGAAGGAGGAAGACAAGACCGAGGAGAACAAGGAGGCCAAGAAGGATGATGCTGAGGCTACCCCTTGCTCCCGCCGCCGATGCTCCTACCACCACTGAGCCCGCCGCCGCCGAGACCGAGGAGACTCCTGCTCCTGCTGCTGCTACTGAGCCAGCTGCTGATGGTAAGCTTTGACGTCCTCTGCATATCAACATTCTCATCACGTAACACGTTGTGCTAACCATGGTTCTTTTTAACTTTGCTAGCTCCCGCTGAAGAGCCAAAGCCAGAGGAGAAGAAGGCTGAGACTCCCGTCAAGTCCAAGCGTACCTCCATCTTCGGCAATTTCTTCCAGAAGTTCCCCAAGGAAGACCAGGACAAGGCCAAGAAGGAGGTCGTTGCTGAGACCCCAGCCGTCTCCAGCACCGCTCCTCAGCTCGGCGATCCTGTCGATGCCTCCACCTCTGAGCCAATCAAGCCTGAGACTGTCACTGCTCCCACCGAGGAGGCCACCGACAAGGTCGAGAAGACCGAAGAGGTCACCACCCCAACCTCTGGCAACAAGTTCCTCTCCTTCATGAAGAAGTCTGACAAGACCGAGAAGGTTGAGAAGACTGAGAAGACCGCCACTGAGACCGTCGAGAAGAAGGTCGACGAGGCCGTTACCAAGGCTGACGAGACCGTCACTGCTGCCGCTGACGCCGTTGTTCCTGGCCTCAAGGAGAAGCGCCGCACCTCTCTCTTCGGCACCCTCGGTGGCAAGAAGGAGAAGAAGCCCGAAGTTGAGGGTGAAGCCTCTGAGGGCGAGACCGCCAAGAAGTCTGGCACCCTCTCCCAGCTCTTCCGCAAGCCCAGCAAGGCCGTCAAGAAGGAGAAGGAGCCTGCTGTCACCCCAGCTCCCGAGACTGAGCCCATTGCCGAGGAGCCTTCCACCGAGGCCCCAGCTACCACCACCACCACTGAGCCAGCCACCAACGGCGAAGAGCAAAAGACCACCGAAGCTCCTGCTTCCGCTGAGCCCGCCCCTGTCGCTGCCTCTCAGCCCGTCCCCACTGCCGCATGAAGAGCAGACGCCAGGACGAGCTCCGTTGAAATCGAAAAGTGGTGGGACCAGCGGTACTTGCACTGTCCTGGTTTGTCTACAGCATAACGATATCAACCAAAAAATAACACGGCACCTTCACTAATCCAACGCGCAACAATGTCCCGCCATCAAAACTCCAATCCTTCACACACAACTCAGCCAACTTCTTAACGAGCATGGCAATGACTTTGAACAAGAAAATCCAAATCCAGTCTCTTTAAAAATAACCTCACTCTAATATATGTCTCTCGTGTGTTCGCGTGTGCGCCTGTGTTTTCCCTATCCTTTTCTTGTGTTTCCTATGTCTTGACTTTCCTGTCTAATTAATTACTGGTTCGATCCATCCAAATTTCCAGCTTGCCACTCCCTACTGTCTCGTCACTCCCTCTGTACGCGGTGATGATGCATGGTTGTCTTGTGGGAATTATCTGAATTTTTTTTAATCAACAATCCAAAAAAATGGCGAGGTGGACGTGAATGATACCCATACCCGATCCCGATACCCCCGATACCCAAATCATACCGTTTTGTGCTGCTTGTGCTTTCTTTTCTTTCCTGTTACTTAATTACTCGCTTTTAGTCCTGCATAATTCTGCTTCTGTTCCATTCGTCTTTTCCAGATTGTAAAGCTCTTCCTTTCTCCTTTTTTCTCTCCACTCGTATCTCTATATCATGATCGATGATTTAATAGTGCGTCTCGCCTCTTGGACACCAGCTGCAGTAGGTCTCTGCGCTGTGGTTGATAGTTATATGCATGCCACTACTGCTACTGCTACTCTCTGCTCTTCTAGCTTAAATTGAAAGTTATAACTCTCTATAAATATCGTAGCTTCTCCCCAGTCTTCTCCAGTCTTCCTCTCCATAGCCACCCCCTGTCTATATGCATGATATTATGACCCATCACCTTTACCCTCAGACAAACACCCTGCAGGAGATAAGCAGACCGCATGATTGAAACCAACGAATAACCGCCTGCATCCCGCAGTCTCTCGTATTCCCTTCCCCCGCCATCCGTTCGTCATGCTACAACAGGCGTGTCATGCTGCCTGTCAACACCAGGCGATTCACTATCTGATTGGCAAGCACTTCACGTCCTTTCATGCATGATGTCAGGCCGTTGAAACGAGAACGGCTTGTAAGTACCGTACTTCAGCTTACGCTTACACTCGTATGTATGTATGTAAAGAGACAGCAATACATGCCGCCCAGAGTACATTCTTACTTAACTCTGTAAGTAACGAAAGTAATCAATCAGTCAGGTAATTCGTTCAACCAAGTAATGATGATATTCAACGACAGGTGTGGGAAACGAACCAAGGAAATATGTAAGCTGAAGAAAGCTAAATATGAGTGGGAAATAGGTGACAGTAGGCTGTAGATCCATCGAAGGCAAGTAGATAAGAAAGGCTCTTTGAGGCATGCATACGATGAAATATCTTCTCTTGTCTGTCTCGGTCTTTGAACAAGTGATCTAACTGATCTATTCAAGGAATGGGCGACTGGAAGGGGGAAAAAAAAAGCCAATTGATTGATGTATATCCCGAAGAATCATAACAGTCTTTCTCATCTATTTATGTGCTTCAAGGGCATGTTGGATAGCTGCGTATAAGTTAGTATGTGTAGATCCAGGAAACGCTTAGTTCAATCAGACTCACCATCACAGGAAGTCTTTGCGTCTCCAAACAACATTTTGGTACCAGGCATGTAGAACATGGGGTTAGGCACATCAGCTGTGTATTATAGACGTTAGTTCGAAATAAATATCCATGGCCGCGCTGGAGCACAGTAACTCACCGTATCCACTTGACATTCCACGCTTCATAACAATGACTTCCTTACTCTTCCAAGCATGCAGAACAGGCATTCCTGCAATGGAAGAGTTGGGTTCCAAGGCAATAGGGTTAACCGTGTCATTCGCGCCAATGACGAGAGTCACATCCGTGTCACTGAAGTCGTCGTTGATCTCGTCCATTTCAAGAACAACTAATTCCCCCTGTTAAGTTTCGGGTACCGCGGACACCAATGAGAAAGAGTAACGTACTATCGTATGGAACAGCAGCCTCGGCAAAGCAGGACATTGCATTGTCCGGGCATGCGGCCGGCGACAGGATGGATGGCAAATCGGACTTTTACGCCCTTTCGCACGAAGCATGCGGGTGATTTCTGAAATTGCATATTGAGCCTTTGCAACCGCCATGCCATATCCAACAACCTAGAGGCATAGATAGGTTAGCAGCTGATTCAATAGCTCAAATTAGAGCAACATACTATAATGACGCTCTCCGCATTCGCAAGGGTATCTGCTGTTTCTTCAATGGAAGTCTTTGTAATCTTTCCTTCAATCTGGTGATCAGATTGCGCTTGGGTTGGGGATGATATTCCACCGAAGAGTACATTAGTTAGGGAACGGTTCATCGCAACACACTTTAAAAAGTCAGCTTGACACTGTTTCCTGGGTAGTATCAATATATAGCCAGGAACTAACCATAATATATGATAGGATAGAACCACTTATGCCTATCAATGATCCCACGGTCGTGAGAAGCGGATTGTTCAGCATGAACCCTTCGGCAACAAGCGCAAAGCCAGAGTAAGCGTTCAAAACCGTTATCACAACAGCTACAGAGGTAGGTTAGCAAGTCTTTGTCACCATATATAGAAAAATCGAGGCAAACATACGCATATCAGCACCTCCTATAGCGGCGGTGGTCGTGAACCCCTTTATGAAACTGAGGATAGTACTGGCTGATAAAGCTGCTGCAGCTACCAAGGGAGCGCCCGGAGCCATAGTTATGAATCCTCCCATGAGTGCCATGTTGGTTCCTAGTAAAGTGGAGTTTACAAGATGTCGGCCCTTGAATGCAAGTGGCTTAGAAGCCATTTTCCCTGATAACTTAAGGAATGCCACGATGGAGCCGGTGAAGGTAATTCCTCCTATTTATTCGGTAAGTTTGACATTCTAAAGGATATGGATGTGGAGAGCTTACCTATAACTACGCCAGAGTATGCTGTAACAAGATGCAAAGTTGAAACATGGTCGATATCACCAAGCACGCTTCCGATGCTGGTGAGGACAGCAGCCAGTCCAACAACGGAATGCAGCGCAGCTACCATCTGTGGCAACTCGGTGGGAGTAATACGACGACCAATCACGGCACCTATGTTGTGTTAATATTACCAGTGAATTGTAAGAGGGAAATATGATCAAGCGAGAACTAACCAACCAACCCTCCTATGCCAGCCAGCCCGACAAATTGAGCGAGAACTTCGGGAGAGAAGCCTACTGCAACCAAAGAGGCAAGGATACCAGAAGCAACACCTAGGATACCGAGATAATTTCCAGTACGAGCAGTAGCCTGAGATGCAAGGCCAGAAATAGAACCTATACTGTTAATGACCGCGGGGCATATGCGTACCAGGCAATAGGATACATACTGATGCAAAGAATACTGCTGACGAGATAACCTGCTTGAATTAGGCCTGCCATGCCAGTGCTCACGGCGGCAAGGTACCCTCCTCCAAACAGTACGCCAGGAATAGCGTAGAGCCATGGATATTCCGGTGGATCAGTAGGCCCTACATAACCTTTATTAGTTTGCGGTATGAAGCAGCAGATATGAGGAGGGCTTACTCTTGAACATGTCCAGCATGCGTTTGGTTATGACGAAGCCACCTGATACGTTGACGAAGGCGAGAAGGACGGACAATGCACCTAGAGCCTGGGGTATAGTTTCAGGGAAATAACCTCCGCCCATGACGAATAGGCCACCAATTCCCACCATTCCTACATGAAAGTAAGTAGATAGTCAATACTAGATAGCGGTGAAGATACAGTACCTGAAATAGCATTGGTTACACTCATCAAAGGAGAATGCAAGGCAGGGGTGACGCCCCATACAACTCGATATCCAATTAAGCCAGCCAAACCTGCTGTAAAGACGTTACTCATGAACAAGGGACCAGTAAATTTACCCAAGGCGAGAGCTGTGCCCATTCCACCGGTAACGGTAGCTACCTCTCTAGAGACCTTTTGGAACGGAGTGAGTTCCAGCTTGGCAGTGTCGGCAGAAACAGCAGCGTCATCTTTCTTGGGAGTTGCTGGCGGCGGAGGTGGAGCAGGTCTGGGGGCAGGGGGCAAGATGGAACCAGCGTGGGTGACAATGGAGCCGCGGACGACCTCATCTTCAAGGTCAACGCCATACTGTTTCTCTACAGGGGCCATTGAGAGCAGGAACTTGGTGATGTTGTTCGAGTACAATGTGGATGACTGCGTAGGTAGACGAGACGGAAGGTCAGTGTATCCTATGATAGTAACGCCATTAGAGCTCACGACAAGCTCTCCAGGTTCAGTCATGACACAGTTCCCTCCAGCCTCTGCCGCGAGGTCTACGACGACAGAGCCAGGTTTCATAGCCATGATCATTTCTTCGGTGATGAGTTTTGGAGCAGGTTTTCCGGGAATCAGAGCTGTGGTAACTATGATGTCCACCTCACGACTCTGCTGGAGGAAGAGCTTCATTTCAGCTTCGATAAATTCTTTGGACATTTCCTTTGCGTAACCGCCGGCGCCGGAGCCGTCTTCTTCGATGTCTACCTCAATGAATTCTGCTCCAAGAGATTGAACCTGTTCACGAACGGCGGGGCGGGTATCAAATCCGCGTACAATGGCACCCATGCGACGTGCCTTTATATTATTAGTATAAATATGGCATGTATACAGACATGATCATGACTCACTGCTGAGATTGCACTGAGGCCAGCAACACCAGCACCGATAACGAGTACCTTGCCAGGTGGAATCTACACTATGTTAATTATGGCAATGGGCCAGAGTGGGCAGCAAAACAGACCTTGCTGTTGAATGTTAGTATGAGTATATAGATATAGATGAGTATAGGAGCATACTCACCCTGCAGCAGTAACCTGACCGGGCAGAAACCTTCCGAAATGGTTAGAGGCTTCCAGTATTGCCTTGTATCCCGCAATATTTGCCATTGAACTACTGCCGTTAGGTTTTCTTTATGTCCCTATGCTGAAGGAGGTCTAGGTAGTTCACCTGAGAGCATCAAAGACCTGGGCACGGGAGATCCTAGGAATCATGTCCATGGCAAAGGAAGTGACACCTCTCTTGGCCAGGGCTTCAACCAGGTCTCTGTTGAGTGCTGGATATAAGAACGATATAGCCGTAGCACCATCCTTGAGCAAGCCTACCTCGCCGCGATTGAGGCTGGGAGCCCGCACCTTGAGCACGAGATCACTTGCCCAGGCATCGTGGGGGCCCACCAAGCTTGCTCCGGCATCTGTATACGCTTTATCCGTGAACTGGGACTCTGCACCAGCTCCACGCTCGACCAGCACCCTTCCGAACCCCTTCTTCAGCAGGAGTGCCACATTAGCTGGGGTGAGGGAGACACGGCGTTCAGACGGGAATGACTCGAGAGGCACGCCAACGGTGAGAGAGGAGTACGGGACCGTCTTGAGCTTGCTGTCATTACTCTGCTGCTGGGAGCACCGGAACGAGCAGGAGAAGAAACGAGCATGCTGCCCGTAGCTGACCAGAGCTCTCCGCAGGGGTGAGGGAACGTTGTTCATGGTCGCGTGTCTCGCTGGCCGTGGAGGTCGGGTATCATTATACGCCGTACTATCTGCCAGATAGCTGTCAGACCTCGTTGCAGCTATCTGCTAGTGTTGTTATCATCTAACTATAGATGTAGATGCTGCTGTGGAGGCGTTGCTGTGGATGTCGTGAGGGGTTGACTGGGATAAGCGCGGCCTCTCTCCGCAACGAAGCTCCAGAAAGCGCGCGATCTTATCTTGATCTTATCAACAAACACCGCAAAGACGGAGGATGAGCTTCCGCCTTATGTAATACAGTATATATTAAGGTTGTTCCTCTTAGTCATCAATGCGGCCCGTGTACAGTCTTGGCATATAATATAAATATCACGTGATATATATCCGTCGACTTCCAGAAAGGGAAAGGAGCAAGAGGCTTCTTCCCCTTGCTTAAAGAAGCTCATCATTTGACTCCATGGCAGCGCTGCGAGGCTAGGGACTACCTAATGTATGTAACATGAGCAAGGGCGCGGGCAAAAAGCATTTCGGCCTCTAAGCAGCTTATCATTTTTAATTAAACCAGTGAGACATCTAAAAAGATTGCGTATCCCAAGCGCCTGCATCAGAGCAATATATCTCGTCTTTAAATCGCTCACATACATATACATGCTAATAACCAGCCGACCTTGGGGACCTGAGATGCCGGGAACAGGGTACAAAAGAGTGATCAATAACGGTGCCCCGCAGCCGTCAAAAGATAAAAAGATAAGAACAATAGGAGAAAGGGAAGAGTTCCTCTTAGTCAGCAGACGGCCCGCGAGAGTCTTGGAAAGCTTGGCGTCTGTCACAAGGCCGCATCTCCGCGCTATTTCCGAGAAGGGAAACATCAGCACAGAAACACAGAAACACAGAAACACAGAAAAGGCGAGAAAGTGTGCAAAACGAATGGAGTATAGAAAAGGATATAGAGCACTCCGTAGAATGAGGGAGAGAGACAGTGAGAGAAAGAGGGGGAGGGAGACGTCGCTTGACGCGCTGGCAGAGAGTGTCCCGCAAGAGGCACCGGCGGGCAGCAACAAGCCGAGTTAGCCGGCACCAGCGGCGAAGGATTGCGGTCGCAGCCTGGCTTCGTGTTCGAGTGCTGGAGTGCGCAGGCTGAGGCGGCGTTGAGCCGCATCTGCGGTTCTTCTGCTGGGGTTCGCATCCACAGGCGGTCGCGAACTATCGGTTTCAGCTGCGCCCGTCGCCCGCCCACCACCCCGTCTTCCATCTCTGCTCCCTCTCTCGCAGCTGCTTGATGCCGGCTGGCGCTGCTGGGTCTGCCCTCGCCGTCGCTGTCGCCTCAGCGTCCTCGCTCCATCTTCCCGCGTCGCGCTGCGACTTTTCCTCGTCCTTTTCGTCCTTTTGTCCCTCGTACCTCCTGCTGACTAAGACATTGTGGAGAAGCCTGCCATTGGCCAATCACATGACTGAAGAGCAGTGACTCATAACTCGAGCCCCACTTTCTGCCGCTCTCGGTTTAGCGCAGAGTCGGGTCGCTCGATCGGGAAGGCGGTGGGATTTTACTGCCACTCGCGCCCTAATCTTTTTTTTTTTGTATTTTAAAACTCGCTTCGTCGTCGTCTTCGTCTTCTTTTTCTCTCATCCTCATCTTTTTTCCACACAAACAACGTACACAGACAGACAAGACAGCGATAGACAGCGAGATACCAGCACCGCCGCCAGGACCAGGACAGACGCCACCATACACGCATTCTCCAACCTCGACTTTCTTCTCGCAAGGCTACAAGATGGCCTTCTAGACGCCGGCTCCAGCTCGCTCGGTCTCTCTGATACAGAGACTACCTCCACGTTGGATTCCCACGAATACACCCCTTTCCCACCAGCTTCACCACCACCTTCAGAGCCTCCATCCGGACCTCTGAACGCATCTTCTGATTTGTCTCGTGCAAACCCCGCGTTCTCACCCTCCACCACTATTTCCCAGTTCGACTTTACGTCGTTCACCACGGATAACCAACGCCCATCATGGCTTTCCCAACCCCAGCTCAGACAGCCTTTGGCTACAAACAATCATCAGCAATACAGTTACAACAGCCCCTCTGCCTCGCTGCAGCAAGACTTCCAGCTCTTCCCCTCGCCTCAGCCTCTTCCAGCACCGCCCAGCAGCTGGTTCGCTCCTCCAAAGAGCTCTCGTCTGGTTCCGCGCCGGAGTCTCCAGAATACCCCTAGATCTGCTTCTGCAGCCTCTGCTTTGCCTTCCAGCAGCAGCCGTACAACCTATCTTTCCGCTCAGCAACCCGTCTTCTACTCGCCTAGTATAAACGCTTCATCTTCATCATCGTCTCGCCAAGTCAACCAGAGCTTGCGTCCTCCAGTACCTTTGTTTACAGATTTGGGAAAGAACACTCAAGTCCAGCAACAAAACCAAACTAAGAACGCCGCTATGGAGGGTACGTTGGTCGCTGCTTCTTTGACTTTGGCCACTACTAACCGTCGTCATCTTGCTCCTGCTACAGACTACTTTGATTTGTCCGATACCTACGATATGCAGGGCAGTGACTCGCTCGCCTTGAACGGCAGCCAGTCACTTGCTTTTGCTGACGCCACTCCCCTGACTGTTTCTCCCCAAGAGTTACTTTTGGACTCCTCGTGCCCGCCTTCCACCAGCATGACCGATCTCAGCACTCCATCTTTCGAGTCTCCTGGCACCTTCAGCCATGAAACTTCGCCGCTCTTCAGCACTGCTGACGACCTGGCTGCTGATCATGATGGCTGGGAGTCGCTCTTCCCTGGAGACCCATTGACGGCCCTTGAGGAAGCCACTAAAGTTCCAGCACCCATTCCCACTCAGCCAACCGTTCAGCCTACTCTTCCCCAAGATACTGCTTCTGCCACTGCTTCATCTTCGCCTGCCGTTAGATCTCGCTCTTTCCCAACTCCATCTCCTCGCACTAGTTCTCGTTCGTCCTCCAACCGCCCTTCATCGGTGTCTGGAGTGACAAAGAGAACTCGTGAAAAGCACCCATTGCCACCAATTGAGGTCGATCCTTCTGATCCAGTTGCTGTCAAGAGAGCTAAAAATACCGAGGCCGCCAGAAAGTCTCGACAGCGAAAAGTGGAGCTACAGGAGGCACTTGAACGCCGTATTGAAGAGCTTGAAGCTGAACTCGAACAAGCCAAACAGGAAGCTGAACACTGGAAGGGAGTTGCTGGACACACCGGAAACTAGTCCTGAGGAAATGGCGTTTTCTCGTTCATCTCGTTCAAATCAATGTTTTGTTCATTGTCGCTTGGCTACCCGGCGGGCCTCCCCATTTACGGCCTGAATAACAGCAAAGGTCTCATGCAGAGGCCCGCCGGGTAACCAACACTTGCACATTTTGTGCCATTTGTTTATTCCCACACTTTTATGACCGGTTACCCGACGAGTCTCAGAAACTTTCAGCCTTCAACACAGATAAAACAGAAAAAAGAATCACGGTTAGAGACTCGTCGGGTAACCAACCCTCGCCCAGACGGCGTTGAAGAAAAGTTTCAGTTTCATCCTTTTCATCCTTCCTGCTCCATGCTTTGTTTCTTCTACTCCCAATCACTGCTCACTGTTACCACTATGCTCAGTTCTGCTCTCAGCTTACTCTTACTGCGTTTTCCTCTTGCCGTCTGATGTCTCCTCTTTTTCTGCTTTTCGGTCCAAACTTTCTTGGTAAAGACTTGCATAGGATTGACTCGTGGCTTTGATCTTTCTTTTTTTCCTTTCTTCTCTGATGGACACCAGCCCTCTAATCTGTGATTCTTCTCTGCTTCTCTCTATTCTTACGCTGATGTCCATCTGTCCTTCACTGATGTTGTTTCAGTTCATGCGTTCATCGACCCTCGCCCTTAAGGCTGGCAGCGGTCTAGATTTATACCTAAACTGTGTTTACTCTGAATAGGATTGTATCCTTACAAAAAAAAAATAAACTCCAATTCCTCTTTATCTTGCAGTCTTCTCTAGATGGCCTTTAGCACTTTTCAAGAAAGTTGTATCTGTAAAGGACTTGGTCCTCTGTGTAACGGGTTCTACCAAGGTAAAAGCCTATACTATCTTCATTCCCCAGCCAGTGAGTATACAATGAGCATGAACACATACCTTGAGGTCTTCCGAAATGCACCCGTACTCGCTGTAATTCTTCCATTCCCATGGCATCCTCATGTATGTTGTCTGCACGTCCGCGTTGAAATAAACTACTGTCTCCAAACCTTCATTCCGCTCCCGGCTTGGCAGGGCTTCCGCGTCCGCCCCGCCCTCATACAGGGGGATTGGCCCTAATCTGTGCACTTCTAGGGCAAGGTATGTGGCGAGAAGGCCAAGTTTAAATTTCAGTGATACCTACAATGCTTTGTATATACACTGAGGGCGATTTAACGCTGATTGGCGTACCGGGCACAACACAATAGGATCTACATATCTATTACACTTTGTTATGAGAGTCGTGTATTCACATTGCAGAGTAGGTATCCTCGACAACAGCAAAGGTTGAATCTCCTGGCTAATGAACACGATATTATGATGAGGACCGGAAATTAGACATGGTCTTGTATTCGAAGCTGAGAGCTAACAGCGTGAACAATTTGTATGTAATTGTAAATTATTCTCACTATTACTAGTGTACTGCACATTCGGAAACGATTCACAAGTTTATTCCAGCAAGTAAGGAATCGCGGGATGGACAGTAAGGTATGAGTCAGGGGTAGACGGGGAACGTCATTAGGATATAATCCTAATTACGAGAGAGTGTATATATGCAGCTCAGACTTGCCTTACTTTCCTCAGCTCACCTCCATCTCCTGTCCAACCCAGCACACCCCATCCTCTGGTCTCAACATCTAGTCTTCAAGCGCATCCAGCCACAAAAACCACTGTGCATCTTCTGTCCAACCCCCCCCCAAGGTATCCACGCCCTCACTCTACCGGAATAGGGAGTGTCATGAACCCAATGGCGGGCCTTGAATAGAAAGATTTGTTGTGCAAGCAATAAGCGTGAAAGGAGCGTTATTAAAGAAGGCCAAAGGGTAAACCCAGCGGAAAGAACATGTCGAGCCAAAGACACGCTTAGATGGGGAAGAAGTCGGAAGTATCTGTTGTGTCATCACGGCTGCCACGGGACTAACGGGAATATGTTTGGGAGAGTGTAGGAAAGGAGGGTATGTTAATCAGTCAAGGACCTGCGTTCCTCTGCTTCTTCCGCTCTCCATCTTCGCTGTGCGGGACCCAAACTGTATTGCTCTCTTTTTTTCCATGGCTACATTTTGCATGCCTAGAGTCCACGCAACTAGGCGCAGTGCTTTCTTGCCATCTTCCACATTTGGCACTAGCTCTGTTTCTGTTTTCTCACATCCAAATCCGCATTTCTCCCATATGGGTCTTGAAAGTGCCCACGTTAAAAAATCTTCGTCCAAATATGGATATCGTGCTTCTTTGCCCCAATGGGAAATAACGCGATCATCACGACCTAGGTTCCGTTTACCTAACCTGCCAACATCAAGCTGAACTTCGTCTATTAGGCCACGGAACCCATGTCGTGAGAAAGCGATGGCATGACGGCTGTATCCAGCAAACACCTCATCCGCACCTAAGCCCGATAGAAGAACACGGGCAGGCGTGGTATAGCTGGCATCCGATTCGCCGTCACTGTCCCCAGAATCGCATATTCCTCTGCCTCTTGAAGCGAAGTAGAGAGCGCAGGCAATGGAGAGGTCCATCTCTGTATTATGTGGCGCCATTAGATGTTTGACCTGCGGTCGATGTTCAGTGGTCTCAGAGTATGGAACATTGATGCGGACAAACCGCCATACCCGACCAGGACATACCCGTTTCAGCTCCTGAAACGAGGATATGCCTGTCCTACGATCGGGACAATCATCGTACACAGATGTAGATGAAATCCCGGACACCGTATTTTTGGCGGCTGCTGCCACTACTCGAGGATTCTCAAAGGCCACATTGAGCAAGTCTATAGGCGCACACTTGGGTAATATATCATGCGCTAATCTTGCAAGTAGTGTGCAGTCTAGACCACCAGAGAAGAGGACAGCAACTTTCGCATCGGTTGAGGTTAAGATGCCCGGTATTGTCACTAATCGTAGCCTGAGTGACTCCAGTAGTTTCTCTCGTAGTGTTCCTATACAAGGGGAATCAACGGCTAATGGGGATATGGATTCTTTCTCGGGAAGGGATATATTCATGGCAGGGATAGGCCGTTTCTAAGAGTGTTAGCTGTGGACCGTAAATTGCATCTATTTCAAAAGCAAGACTGGTTATTAGTATTCTCACAAGGCTCGAGGTCGGATCAGGGGACCATGGGATAACAGAAATCTTGACCGGGCACCTGGGTGATTCAGCTATGGCATCTGCGGCCTCCTGTTCGGGCTGGCTAGCAAGGTCAATGACATGGATTCCAGTAGTATCTACTTCTTCAAAGTAGTCCGGTAGAGTTTCATCTCGGATACTAGATATTCGAAAACAGCCGTCACTGCTCCATCCATGAAGTAGGGACCGTCGACCAAGATAGTCCCTTCCATAGAATACCCGGCACGAGCAACTGTCATAAAAGACAAACGAAAACGGGCCTGAGATGTTGTTAATTGCAGCACAGAGCTTCTCTAAGGTATCACCAGTTCCCCCGGCATTACACGGTTTCACCGCGTCCATGAATGTCCGAAAAACGGCGGAAGTGTCATTCCCTTCTAATGCGCGATCCGCGAACTTCCACACCTCGCCATTCCAGCAGAGAACCAATTGATTATCGTCTACTAGTGGCTGTTTCTGAGGAGAGTCTCCTCGAAGACCAAGCACAGAAGACGCGAAGGTTAGGTAGGTCGTCTTCTGGCTGACACAAACACATTCCGTCTGGTAGCTGTCCGGACCTCTGTTCCGGATAAGTTTCTCTGTCAATTGGTCCGGGTAGCAGTGCTTCTCATTGCTTAGCGAAAAGAAGATACCACACATCGCGAAATCTCCTCTTCTCACGGCACATCGAAGTCAACGGTTGAGTGATGATGTTTCAAGCCGCTGAAGTTGCTGAAGGTCATTTTAGTGAAGCCCCTCGAAGGTAGCTTCGGCAAAACGATGATCCGTCGTCTTTTTTTGGACCTCGAACATCCCAGACAGCTCGAACTTGTGTAATTTTACGGAGCCTCGACAACTCATATATAAAATAACGGGTGTTTTGTGTGCGTTGGGATAGGCAGTGTTTGTACGTGAGCTCGCTATTTCGACCGGAAGACATTCTACGATACGAGTGCTCCCATGATGATCACGATAGGCTGATTTAACGGTCCCCCAACAAGATATCCTCCGCCAGCCCTCTATACACTACTCCGCACAGCTCATGTTGAGCTTATGTCTCCTCCGGAAATCCAGGTCCCCCCTTCAGACGTCGTCGGGGAGACGTCTGCGCAAGTAGGACAAAGCGAGGAGCCTCGACACGATATAGCTTCAAAGGAACTGAGCAGTGATGCTAGCCCCAAGGTTGACGAGGCCTCTACGGGTGAGCCAGACTCCTCTCAACACAAGGAGGATACGGTAGAAGCTTCAAATGCGGACGAAAAACTCTCGTTGGAAGCTGAAAGTGACGTACAATCCTCGCCAGAGCCACAGGAACAGCTCACCCTCCAGTCCAAGCGCGGGAACCCCGGCCAGCTGCTACAAGTGGACGTAAAAAGCGGCCGGCCGCCTCTCCCTCCCAAGAATGACGAGCCATATATCGATCCCACTCCTAAAACTCCACAGGTTCCACGGCCACCTGCCGACAAGGACCTACCTGAAGTTCCTCAAGATGATCTACTGAACGACGGTTGCAGGTCGAAGCCTGGAAGCGAGGAGAGGAAGAGCGAAGATTCTCAATCGGAAATACAGACAATAATGGACCAGTTTTCGGATGAGACCAGCAGCCTCCGCCAGGAAGAAATCATGTCTCCAAGACTTGAGTTAGCTGATCAGTTTCGCGCTGGCCAGGGACATTACCCTCCTCGGAATTCGAGTTTAGAGCAGCAGCCTGCAAAACAAAACGATGAACCCGCAGATACCCAAGTTACCTCAAGCATAACGGCCACTGGCAGCGGTCGTCAAACAATGTCTCCTCCCGCGGTACCACCCAAGTCCCCATCCCTGACCACCACAGGGAAGTTGACCGCCGTAGAAAAAGCTGATAGCCACCACACCCCATCGACGCCAACGTCAACGGTTCCTCCACCCCCAGAACCAGAAGCTGAGCAGCCATTCGACTTCCACCGCTTTCTAGAACAGCTTCGACATCGGACTGCTGACCCAGTAGCCAAATTTCTACGCTCGTTTTTGAATGAATTTGGCAAGCGTCAGTGGATGGTTCACGAACAAGTTAAGATAATAAGCGATTTTCTAGCATTCATAACCAATAAAATGGCTCAGTGTGATGTATGGAAGGGCGTATCGGACGTTGAATTTGATAACGCCAAGGAAGGGATGGAGAAGCTTGTTATGAACAGACTTTATACGCAAACGTTTTCGCCAACTATTCCCCCGCCGGCCCCCTCGCGAAGTAGAAGTCGAGGGAGAAGAAAGGAAATAGAGAGGATGCATAATCCAGGTAGACGTGGCCAGCACCAGGAAGATGTTGAGCGTGATGAGATTTTGGCCCAAAAGGTCCGGATATACAGCTGGGTTCGCGAAGAACATCTTGACATCCCACCTGTTGGTCCAAATGGCCGCCGTTTCCTACTTTTGGCTCAACAAGGTAATTTATTTTCGGCCCGTTAACGGATCTTCTATTCTAACCTGACTTTAGAATTATTGAAGATTAAGGGATACCGGGCGCCGCGTGATAAAGTAATATGTATTTTGAACTGTTGTAAAGTTATCTTTGGTATGCATATATCCCACTACTCCCTCGTTGATTATGAGACTATTTTTCTAACAGAAATAGGATTATTACGCCATGCGAAGAACAGCGACACCTCCGCGGACTCATTCATACCTTTATTGATATACGTGGTTCTAAGGGCGAACCCTGAACATCTAGTGTCCAATGTACAATATATTCTCCGGTTCCGTAACCAAGACAAGCTGAGCGGAGAGGCTGGATATTATTTGTCTTCTCTTGTATGCTCCATTTACCCCTCAAAAAATTATTTGTCTACTAACTGGATAGTAGTCCGGAGCTATACAATTCATAGAAAGCCTGGATAGGACATCTTTAACTGTCAGTGACGAGGAATTTGAACGAAATGTAGAAGAGGCCGTCTCTGCCATAGCGGAGCGTAATCCAGAGCCCGAGGAAGCACCGTCCGTTCCGGAGAAGCCGTCTGCCAGCAGATCCCGAGAAGCACCATCGAGGCCTTCCCTTGAAACCAGCTCGAATTCACGGCAGAAAGAGACCTCGCCCCCGTACTCTCCCGTTTCTGAGGATAATACTCCTGTTGCCGGATTGCTCCGAACGATCCAAAAGCCACTGACAACAATTGGTCGCATATTCTCTGATGATACAGATTACTCTAGAGAACGATCGCCGTTTAACCAGCAAAGTTCTGCGGCACCTGAGAATGTGCCCTACCACACACAGCGCCAGGACAGCGACTCATGGAGAAACCAAGAGCGATCGAGAGGCCGTGATGCAAAGTCACCATCGGCAACGACCCGCTTTGAAGCCCAGGAGGCTGCTGCTCGTCAAGCAAGTGCCGAGTCTGCAGAGGCTCGTCGTATCCAACGAGCTGAGCACAACGATGTTGTCGAGTACGTAGCTGTCCAGAGAAAAATCTGACGGAAAAAAAGAAAAAGCTAAGGATGTATACTGATTTTGTACGTTACAGGACTCTAGCCGGCATGTTCCCGAATTTGGATCGGGATTTGATCGATGACGTCGTCACCATGAAAGAAGGACGGTAAGTGCCGCTTTTTCTCTGCAATGCATTGTCGAGCGCGCCGAACTAACTATTCTTCCCGATACAGAGTTGGTCTTGCAGTCGATGCCTGTCTTGCACTCAGCGCCGACTCTTGAAACATCGATGGAATATTGGAGCGGCTGTTTTCATTATATGTGCAGAAAAGAACAAAACTACGAGCATAACCTGGGAGTTATGGTCGGGTCATAATATCATGGATACCCCATTGAATACATAGTTGTTATAATTTGGTTTACTGGTTACTTCCTCGTACAAGCCTTCCCTAGCCCGGTCCTATAATATTTCCCCTCGCTGCTTGTTCACGGGAGCTGTAGGACGCCTTACCAGGAGCACTGAGCACAGTAGAACAGAATAGCCAAATCCGGATGAAGAAGTTGAATTTAGCTACCTTGATATTTTAAGCTTAATCCAGAGTAACTTCGGTATTGGTTCGTGTATCTTTTCTCGCCTTTCACTCTGTTCAAAGTGGAAAATGGACAGATGTGACATGACGGGTGACTGACGGGTGACTGACGGCGAGGTGCATCAATCACCATCAAACGCAGCAGCTCTGAGGATGCAGAGTACTATTTTAAGATGATACAGCAAACTGCCAGGTCCTGTCTTCCCGGCCTGGTACAAGGCTTCTCTTATTAATATCTCAACCGGTCTCCCTCATTCTCGTTTTCTTCCTTTTCCTCTTTTTTTTTTTTTTTTTTATAATTTAACTTCCCTTCGACGCTATTTTTTTCCCCTTCATTAATCAAACAATCTGGAAGTATCAAAAACTATCGAGGATACACCGGAAGCGCTGTTAGAGAAGACAGGACTAGAGCTCCTGTGAACCGCCGTGATGCCTAGGAAGAAGAAAGCCGCCGAGGGCAAGAAGGACAGCCCGCTGGGAGGTTCTTCTACCGTTTCATCAACGGCCAGCGCTTCTGCTTCTCCGAGCCACCAGGAGCAAAAGCCACAAGGATCTTCGTCTGTGCCCAAAGCTACCAAACCGCCGCCCGCAGAGCCGTCTACTTCTGCTCTCATCATCTGTCGCAACAAGTGAGTAGCCATTTTATATTCGCCCGTCCTATAGTTGTTCCATTTTTTACCTTACCCCTTCCTCTCTTCCAATGGGCTGTGGGGAAGCTCGATAATTATAGCTCTGGAGCAGAAGCTATGGGAAGAAATTTATTATTGTTTGCTAGCTGCTTCACCTGAAACCACACCACCCCTGTCAATTCTTCTTGAACGACTTCAATAGTACCTATACTGACCGGCCGCTTCGATTGATTGAGCAGACACTGGCGGTACATATCGTCCTTCCATGGGCCATGGCTCCAGCTGCCCCCCGAGATACTTGAAAGCCTGGCATACAGCAACTATGCCACTCCACAGCCACAGCCCATCCACCCGGCGGTCTTCTTTGACCTCATCAAGATCCGTCAGCTGGTTGAAGAAGCGACCGACCTCGCTGTCCGTGCAGCCAATGGAACGATATCCTCGCCCGGGAGCTCGTCCTATAGCTCGGGATATGGCCTCCTAGGCGGTAATGGAGGAACTTCCATGGGTGGCTCCGGTGTGCGAGGAGCTCGAGGGGACGGTACAACAAAGTTGAGTCGAGAACGACGGCATCGTATGCGGGAACATGCCACCCAGAAGTTATCCAAGGCATATGCGCTCGATGAGATAGCTGCTAGCGTTGCCACGATGCAGTCCACCTCTTCGCTGGAAGAAGTTGCAAAGTTGGTTCTACAGCGGAACGAGAATGACTGCGACGCGAAATACGTCCACTTTTTCCACGAGAAGATCCCCTCTCGATCGCTGGTACAGTGCACGAGTCTTAAGCCGCTAGATGATATCATTACCATGCGGCAGTTGGACGGGGCTATCTACAGGACTAGGGCTGTGGCAAAGATGCTGAAGGACGACCTGCCAGGCGCAGTGAGAGACCTTACCGATGGACTTGCGGCCTGTCGTGCCTGTAGTAGACAGCATGATGAAGCCAAAAAGGACGTTGAAGTGGTGACTGATAATAGCCGACGGAAAATGGTGCCGTCACGGTTCACTCAGAAGATAGATGAAAATGATCAGCCGAGTGGACTAGAGATCCAGCTGCTCTTCCATAGAGCAGGAGTGTACTTGAGCATTGCATGTCAGCACATTCACGAGGCGTTGACTGCATACGAACAGAGCAAGGAGTCCCCAGGACCTGTCAATGGCAATGATAAGAACATCCCAGGAGTGAAAGAGAACGGTGATGGCCCAAAAGACAGACAAGCGCATAAACGCTGGCTGGATGCACGGAAGGTTGTCAAGACAAATGCGCGACGGGCTCTTCGTGACTATCTTGCTTTCCTGTCCCTGATCAACTATACTCCCGGACCTACCCCGTCTACCTTATCGGACGGCACTTTTGCAAGCCGTTACAAAATTTACCCTGTGTCCGATCTCTTCTCGTCCACCCCTCCTGTGGATCTCCCCCCTTACCCTGAAGAACTCGGTTTGTTGGCCTTGCGTAATCGACGTAATGCTGCTCAAGCCGGAAATCCGGACGTCTGCCACGAAGCCGTGACCTATCACCCCCTGCTTACGGATGCACTTCACTCCCTGTTGATATGCCACTCCATCCTCCAGACGCCTGAAAAGGAGTTCGTCCGCCACGCTCATATGGTGGCTCGTATCGCACGCATCTGTGATGGGTACCCTATCTTCCTTGCACCCCGATCCCCTTCTCGCTCTGACTGGATGGAAATCCTCTACCGCACTAATAACTGGCTCAGGGTCAGACCATGGGAAGATCTCTGTGCACCCGCTCCTCTTCCTGGCCACAACCTATACAAGAAGGCAGCGGCGGCCGATCAAGCAGCCGTCGCAGCTGCACAGCAAGGGATCCTCCCTGAGCCTGCACGGACAGCACCACCCCCCTCAGTCCAGGAAGCAATGGCACACGATTCCCAGCTGAGTAACGCTGTGTTCAAAAGATGGGCTCAGGATGACTCCAAGGATTTCCCGTTCTGCACCGAGCGTGCGGTGGCTGTCTCATGCTGGGTTCGAGTGGCTCCTGTATCTGTGGGAACGGGCCGGAACAAAGGGAAGAAGAATGCTGGCAGTGGTAAGAGCGAGGCACCGAAAAGTGACGACTTCTGGAGTGAGGAGAATCAGATACTCGCTGATGAGAAAGCAGTTGATGCCGCTATTCGAAATTTAACCGTTGGCTAGGAATTTTGGTATCCAAGAATCTTTTGCATGTTGACTTGCCACCCTTTTTCTTTTTACCTGCGTTATCTGGGGACTTATATCTTAACGGCTAGCCATAGAATGACAATGATGCCACGAATCTCGTCTTTTTATCTTGAACTTCATTCACCCTCTCTATACATACTTCATCTTTTGTAGCTGATATCATGACTAAGCAACACAGCCAATCATATCGCTTTGTCCGTTTCTCGCTTAGCTTTAGCGCCGCCAGCCGCGACTATAAAAGGCTCCTCGTCCTCCTCATCTTTTCATCTTTTTCTTCTTCTTCTCTTCTTCATACTTACCTTGTTTCGGGGATCGCGATCACAAAGGCGACGCTCCACAGAAGAGACCCTGCATTGCACGTCGCGGTGGACTCGTCTTGTTCAATGGCCTTCGGGTCATTGAGAGGCACATTCTTTGGCTCTTTCATTCGATATGATACTGTTTTCATCGATCTGGCTTTGGGCCGCAATCTTGCTTTACGCAGGAGGTTGAAGAAGACTTGTTCCAGCATAATGACGCCCATGTTTACTTACACCTTTCGTTCTTCTCTTGAGTAAATTGATACTGAGTAACGAGCAGCAGGGATCTCCAGTAACTTAACTTACTACCTAGTTATCATTACATCATAGTTCAGCCAGGAACGACATCAACCAAGTGGCAACGCGTCTGCCTAAACTCGCCACCAAGTCAACTCGTTTCTATATAAGTTATAACTGATCCCGTCAAGCCATAAACAAGATCACGTTCAGGTGCAATATCAAAAAAGCTGCCCTCCGAATACAAAACAAAAAATAAACAGACATCCGTACAAACAAACAGAGCCATCACGATGCCTGTGCCACTCGGTCCAGATCTCAAGAAGAAGGACAAATCCACCATGGGCCCCAACGGCAAAAGCAACATGAACGACCCCTTGTCTACGCCAAATACCACGATCACCATGACCACCACGGCTGAAACGACTACAAACGTCCCGCCCACAGCGTCGGGTAGAGGGCCTGGTGTGATGACGCAGGAGGAAGTCGATCGCCTGTACGAAGAGCGCATGGAAGAGGAGTACGCGAAGCGCGAGGGAGGCGCTTGATCCGACCTGACTGCGCTCGTTAGCTATCTGGTCAACTATCCACTGGGAATCGTGAAGCTGCTCTATTATCACTGTCGAAATGGTTATGATGCTTATGTCTGTCTACTGTCCTTGCAACTCGTTAGCCCCATGTCTATAACTAAGAATCAAGCTCCTCTCTGTAACTCCTCCGTATAAAGCTTGTATCTCGGCCGTCAACCACCCACACCTCAGAGCCACAACCTTGGGGAGAATGTTACCTGGCTAGTGACATGATAAGTACTCTAGCCAACCTTGCGGCTTGGTCTCTGCCGTCCGGATCATCGAGTTAGCGGCACAGGGAAATAATCAGCTGCGAGCTGACTGGCCCGGCAGGCGAAGGCGAGGAGGAGCTTGCAAGGACGGAGCCTGTAGATTACAATCAGCGCACCCTCTATTGGCTGGTGCCCAGTAACTATGCATCCCTCCTTCGCTCGCCATCCCAGTACAACGTTAGATTCGAAGGAGAAAGCCTGGTAGGAAGACGGCCAGCAGACTAGCCATGGGCGAGAGGAGTACGCAGTATAAACGAGATGCTATCCCATCCGTCCATCGCAGCCGGGAGGACGTCCTCATGGGTGCAGCTAGACAGCCAACTACTTAATGAGCCATCTGTTGCCGATATCAAGACGTGATTTGGCTGCCATCTAGTACTGTCTGTCCTGGCATCTATATCTTCTACCTGATATAACTACACATCTTGCGCTTTTTCTCTTCCCTCTTCTTCTTTCTTCCCAAGATACTCCTGCGGTCCTTAGGGTCATCTGAAAAAGGATAAAAAGACCGAACAAATTCATACCTGAGAAGCTGGCTGGTTGTGAAGGAGACATTTTCCACAACTATCATACTATAGCCCCTACGCTTCCCTGAGAGTAGAAGAAGACATCAGCATGAGTGGTGAGCCTCCTATGCCTTCTATTACTACGGATACAATGGCAAAGAAAGCGCAAGACACTGATCAAACAACAACAAGCAGACCAGCCTATGCTCGGTGGCGGACGTGGCCGCTGGGATTCGCAAGACCTAGAGGACCAGGGTTTTGCACCATACGGGACATTCCCAGGTTCGCCAACTGAGAGCGCAGAGACGTCCTGCAGTATCACTTCCACTCGGCCCAGAGTCAACGCCAGAATCGTCTCTGATGCCATCTTGGGCCTGTCAGACGGGTTGACGGTCCCCTTTGCTCTCAGTGCCGGCCTCTCTGCCCTGGGGAACACCAGGGTCGTCGTCGTCGGTGGCCTGGCCGAGCTTGTTGCCGGTGCTATATCTATGGGCTTGGGCGGATACGTTGGCGCACGCAGTGAAGTGTAAGTAAGATCCATACGTATACTTTACACATACACAAATATATATAAATATGGGTATCAATGTAGCTAACACCGCTTAGGGAATCATACGAAGCCACGGTCCGAGAGACTAAACATCTAGTCAAAGCGTCCCCAGTGGAAACAATGAACATCATCCGTGAAGTTTTTGCTCCATACAACCTCCCAGACGAGCCCGTCGCTCACATGAGCAATATCCTATACAACTCCCCTGAGAAACTCCTTGACTTCCTCCTCACCTTCCACCACAAAGAGTCGAAGCCAGGCTGCAACCAGGCATGGATATCTGCCATCACCCTTGCTCTGGGCTACTTCATCGGCGGTTTCATCCCGCTTATTCCTTATTTCATCGTGGACCACGTTCTGGCGGCGTTGTATTATAGCATTGGTATCATGATTTTCACATTGCTGGTCTTTGGCTATGTTAAAACCTGCATTGTTCGAGGTTGGGCAGGTAGAGAGAATATAGTTGCTGGTATTAAGGGGGGGCTCCAAATGGTGGTTGTTGGAGGTTTGGCTGCTGGTGCGGCTATTGCCCTGGCTCGAGCCATCAACCCAACTGGCCGCGCTATGTTTTGATTTGAACTCGAGATGAAAAGAAATAACTGGGGCACAAAAATGGAACGGCTGATGCATATCCTGAGTTTTCAGTGAGCTGAACTCAGGCTTCAAGTGCCTCCGCAACCAGACCCTTTGCCTGGTCAGACATCTTAATCTGCAAGGCCAGCTCATGACCCCGTTCCGACATCTTCGCCCACGTCTTCTTCAGGATATTCACAATCTTCCCCCTATCCTCGCCATGCTCCTGCTCGAACTTCTCAAACTGGTCTGCCAGAAACACAAGACATGCAACATCCTCCAGAACCTGACACTCGGCATCCCGCTTCATGTCCTCCTTTCTCACTAGGGCTGCCACTCTCGCAGCTTCTTCAGCGGAATATCCACAGCTTAGACAGATCTCTTCGGCGTGAGTTGCCTGGCGCTTCTTCTGCGCCGTCCTCCAGGAGAGATAGCCCATTCGGTTCATTGGGTAGTCGGCGCGAGGAATCTCCCAGCGCTGCAGATGTTGTGCTCGTACAGCCAGACGGAGTAGCTCGGACGGCTCCGGATCATGCTTAAGAAGATACTCCATCATTCTGTTCGCATAGTGAAGCTCATCCGGTATCTCTTCGTCTTCTCCGGCTTCATTCTTGACGCTGACCAGCTTTGGGTCCTTTAAGTGCACGTCGTCAATTTTCTTCAGCGCTGCTTCAAATTTAGCCATCTTATAGTTATCCCCCAGTACATATATTAATCGTTTGCAGTAAATAGTATCAGCCTTCTTAGCTATTCTTCTGTCAGTGTTAGAATGATGAAACGTCCGAGTTTTTATATCTCATAAAGTGCAAAGGCTGCAAACTTCGGCATCTCCTTTTTTTCATCGCGCAATCTGACCGGTTTTTTGCCCCACCAGAAAGGCAGTAAAAAGCCGACTTTTTGACTCAAGGAGTTGTTGGTCTTCTCAACTTCATCTTTTTCTATCATTCATTGAATATAGATAATTGCACTGGCGGGATATATATTCCTGTCTTTTTGGACGCAACGATGGCTGCCACGGCGTCACAGAAGTACTTGAGCTCTCGGGGTGGCTCGTACGGGGTATGTACCGATATCGCAGCGCTTCCCTGCAGGCATGAAGCCTTACCAAGCTATACAATCCTATTATCGAGAATCTCCAACTGACGCAGCTGAATTGAACAGTTTTCCTTTGAAGAAGTCGTCCTGAAGGGCCTCGCATCAGACGGAGGCCTCTTTATCCCGGAACAGATTCCTTCGCTGCCCGCAGACTGGGAGACAAAGTGGCGGAACTATAGCTTCCAGGAGCTGGCCTTTGAGATCCTGTCGTTGTACATTTCTCCATCGGAGGTTCCGTCGGATGATTTGAAGGATATAATAGCTCGCAGCTATGGGACATTTAGGTGCGGTCATTACTAAAGCAGAAACTGCTACTCAATGGCTGTTGCTAATGTAGATGGTTCGGACAGGACTCCCGATATCACTCCACTAGTCACATTGAACGAGCAAAAGCGATTATATCTTTTGGAACTATTTTGTGGGCCTACCTTCGCCTTTAAAGATGTGGCGTTGCAATTCTTGGGAAATCTATTCGAATACTTCCTTGTGAGGCGGAATGAGGTGAGTTGCATCTGCGGAGAGATATAAAACGCCTCTGGAGATGAGCTGGGTAACTAAAAATTCCTTCGTTCAGGGAAAGACTGGCAAGGACCGTCACCATTTGGTGGTCGTTGGAGCTACGAGTGGAGGTATGCAATCTTTTGAACGCTTCCCATGGAAATAAATACAAGGGTATTGACAGGTATCCAGATACCGGCTCAGCCGCTATATATGGACTACGCGGGAAGAAAGATGCCTCTGTCTTCATCCTGCATCCGAAGGGCAAAGTGTCACCCATTCAGGAAGCACAGATGACAACTGTGTTAGATGAAAATGTCCATAACATCAGTATCGAAGGTATGCCCAAAATGCAACGTCATGTACCATTTTATTTCCATTAACTGATAGCATGGCCCCAGGATCTTTCGATGATTGCCAGGATATGGTCAAGGCCCTTTTTGCCGATCCGGAAATCAACAAAACTCATAAACTAGCTGCTGTGAACTCGATAAATTGGGCTCGTATTCTTGCTCAGATAACCTACTACTTCCACTCTTATTTCTCCCTCATTCGATCCCCCAATTATGTCCAGGGAAAGCCAATTCGGTTTGTGGTGCCATCAGGTAATTTTGGTGATATCTTGGTGAGTTTTGCATAATTTTGATATGAACCGCCCTCAACTCAATCGCTCATGCATATCGCTTTTCTAGGCTGGATGGTTTGGCAAACAAATGGGTCTTCCGGCCGACAAGTTGGTTATTGCTACCAATGAGAATGATATTCTTGACAGATTCTTGAAAACTGGCCAGTACACGAAACAAGCACAGGCTAAGACACAAGAGAGCCCTTCTGCCGTGAAGGAAACGTGGAGTCCCGCTATGGATATTCTGGTATCAAGCAACTTTGAGCGACTTCTTTGGTTCCTTGCCTTCAAAGTCTACGGCCATGGAGACATCGACCAGAAGCGGAAAATCGCAGGCAACACTGTACTTGGCTGGTTGCAAGACCTCTCTAGCAAGGGAGGGTTTGGGGTTGACGAGAAGATATTACAGGCAGCTCAACAAGAGTTCGAAAGTGAGCGGGTATCTGACGAGCAAACCATTGATACTATCCGATCGATTTACTCGACCTGCTTCCCCCAGGCCCCTGTCAGTGCCGGCACTAGAGGAGAGACGGGAGGATACATTCTTGACCCTCATTCCGCCATCGGAGTTGCAGCATCGTTGCGATCAATCTCTCGGAATGAAGAGACCTTCCACATCTCACTTTCAACAGCACATCCAGCCAAGTTTGCTGAAGCGGTGGATGCGGCTCTGCGAAACGAAAAGGGGTATTCGTTTGATAATGTGCTTCCCCCGGAGTTTGTCGGGTTAGAGAAGAAGGAGCGCCGTGTCATTTCCATGCCGGCTGGAGCTACTTGGAAATCGGTTAGCGAGACCATCGACCAGCACGTTTCTGTTTAGATGGGTTGAATACAGGTGAATGGTATATTGTTTGCAAAGAACCGATTTGATTCGGTATAGTTAGTTTGTTTATATAAACAAGAAGGATCGCCCCCCCACATGACATGACTCAGAAGAAAGGGAACCTGCACAAACAATGGTGGTGGCGCTCCTATATCAAAAGCTCATACCATCCCCTCCCCCACGTTAGCTTGTTTTTAGATAATACCCGAGGGAATACAAGAGAACATATTAGAACAAGGAGCAGAGGTATAAGAGGCGCAGAAAAGAGAACCTTTGTCTATCGAACAGAACAAACCACTCTTTTAAACGGGTTTTCGCTTGATACAAACAAAAATGGACAGCAAACGCCCCTTGAGCTCGTTCCGTCTTCTTTCATTTGATATATTCGGCACGCTGATCGACTGGGAGACCGGGGTTTACGAAGCCCTCAAGCCTCTAGTCCAACGGTTGGATGACTCCAATCTCCTGAAGACCGATCGAAAGAAGCTTGGAGACTTGTACAGTAAACATGAACGAGCTGTTCAAATGAGTAACCCCGGACTAGCTTACAACTTGGTTACCAAGGCGGCTTACGAGAGTCTGGCAAGGGAGATACAGTCTCTCCCGACACCAGAACACCTCCTAGAAGAAGAATCAACGGCATTCGGCAGCAGTGTCAGCCGCTGGCCCCCCTTTCCCGACACCGTGGCCGCCATGCGCCGGCTGAAGCAGAAAGGGTACAAGCTCGTCCCACTGTCGAACGTGGACCGCAGCTCCTTCTCCAACACGCTGGCCGGGCCGATGGCAGGGCTGCGGGAGGGGCTAGCACCGGACGAGCCCTTTTTCGACGCCATCTACACGGCACAGGATGTTGGATCGTACAAGCCAGACCTGCGCAACTTCGAGTATCTGGTTTCACACGTCAAGTCCGAGTTTGGCATCGAGGCCGCGGACATCCTTCATGTCGCGCAGGGCCTGCACCACGACCATGAGCCGGCGAAGAAGATGGGTCTTAATAGCGTCTGGATCGCGAGAGGCAGCGGATCGAGCAGCATGGGAACCGATGTGTCCGAGTATCTCGAGGGAGGAAAAGTAGCCTTTGGATGGCGGTTTGACGACCTGGCGGGGCTGGCGGACGCGGTTGAGGCTTCACCACTGTAGCACAGCAGTTACACACAAAGCAACGTCAACTTTCGTCTCTGTACTCGCCTTCAACTCCGCCTGCGTCTCTCATCTTTGTCTGTTTCTTAGTTGCCTGTCTTTCTCTCGCGTCGACGTTTTCGATGTAACTAGGCCAGGATCTTTTAATAAATGAGGTAAAAAGAAAGTCCTGACTAAGCTCTGACTAAGCAAAGCCTCCAACTTTTTCACGCCCCAAGAGAAGAACGTCGAACTTCTTCAACTTCTGCACCTTTTCGACTTCACCAGCAACTCGCCGCAGGATCTCGACCTCTTGGACGCCGCCGCCTGCTCGAAACGCTCGCCGAAGAAGACGAAGAAGGGCCTTAGATCGCTTCGTCCGGGCAGCTACTCCTCTTCTGCCGCGCCGCCGCCGCCGTCTCATGCCGCCCGCTCGTCTTCTTCCTCGTCTGCTCTCCGACCCGATCCCTTCCATCATCGCCACATCCAGGCTCGTCGGAGCCACGCCCGCGTTCACTTTCCGTTTGACCAGCTGAAGCGCCTTTTGCCGTCCCCTATCTCACCCTGTTGATGTCCTTCAGTCCTCAGAACTATGAATCAAGCTCGTCCACGACAAAGTCGACGTCTCCAGCCCATACGGCCGCCCAGTCGGCTAACCTCTCTTCTCCTCCGTCATCAGTCGCCATGCAGCCACACTCAGTCTCCCAGTCGACTGTAACGACGTCAACCTCCTGCCCAACTCCGGCCAGCAGTACTAGCGGGCTCGTGAGAGATGGATCCGATGGCCCAGGGGCGATCGCCGCGTCATTTGCTGATGGAAAGATCCCTTTCGAGACACTTGGAAGCGACACGAAACGTTTTGCGCATGACCACCAAAGTAACGAGAAGAGCATCGATACGCAGAAATCATCCTCTAACGATAGTAATGATCATGATCCTATGGATATCGACTTGAAAGAAGGAGCTGGCCTGTCGGAAGAACCAAGTCTAGAGTCTCTCCAGCGAGACGTTGGGGAGGCAATAGGCCTCTGCAAATCCAGTAAGGCTTCTTCTTGCTGATTTTTCTTGTTCAAGTGCCTTTGTTTTCTTTTATTTTTCGATTACCTTCTATATTGGCACTTGAATTGGATAATGATGTATTAACACGGACAGCCTACACCTCGACTCTGCCAGTTCCCAAGTTTGATATCGTATCACTTTACGGCCTAGGACCTATAGCCGCATCGGTAGCTCGCACGGACCCCATCACAGGTGAGAAGATAAATCGGCTACGGAAGTCTTACGAAGGAAAGATCAAGGGTTTGGGCCTGGCCGGTAGAAATAAGCCCGTTAAACAAGAACCGGGTGCCCCTGGCGGACTACGGAATTTAATGATGTGGCCCGACGAAGAATGGTACAACCAAAAGGTTGCAGGCAAAGAAATAACGATCGCGGAGCCGGATACCGCATTCTACAAACAGCAGCTCAGAGCTATGAAAATGGAGCCAGGCATCACCCCAAGAAACGAATATTGGGAAGACGTACTCGGCCACGAGAAATCATCGAAAAATGCCGCTGAGCAATTACCGAAAAAACTAGCCACCAGCTCCATCAAGCATACTCCCCAGAGCAACGGCACACCTGCCGCCCACGCCTCCTCCACAGCTGTGGCCGATCCGGGTCGTCCAAAACGAGCCGGCCGGAAGAGAAGCTATCACGACAGCAGTTTTGTCGGGTATGGTGAAGGCTTTCCTGACGATGATGACCTGGAAGGTTCTATCTACTCCAATGATGACGATGGGAGCAGCGTGGGCAAGAAAAAACGAAAGAAGATGGTTCGTTCTTCCTGCATAATGAATACCCACCCTATCCAGGAATATCCCATGTTTCTAGTACTCTTGGTATCGTTTACTTACCAGTATTATAGCAAGAACATGCAACAGGAGGCCCTCCGCCTTTTGAGCGAGGCGGCAGTTATGGTGTTGGAATGTTTGGCATCGGTGCCCGATGACAATAGTCCCAAACAATCAACAACGACCTGTGGCTCAACTTGTCTGAATCAGCCCTTTTCGAATGACGCATTCATGCATCTATGCAGGGTAACAGATTCTGACCCATTTTAACTTTACTCTCCCAGCTACTCACCCTCAACAGCTTTAACGGTTCGGTATAGTTCTTTCCACACCAAACACATCTCGGTGCAAACCACAGGACTACATGTCTCTTACCCCCCTTTCCACATTTCTTCTCGTGACACCTTGGACTTAAAACTCCTTAATTCTTCAAATTTGCATAGTGGTACAGGATATACCCGCTTCGGTCAAAACGGCGTTAGATGTTCATTGATTCTTCCTTTCTACTTCGTGGTGTTTCCGGAGATTCAACAGGACGGTGGTATATTGGGTTCTTGTCGTTTTTATCTGCTTTCCTCTTGCTTCCGCTGCCTTCTTTTCGTTCCTATATTCTTACTCTTGCCTTCACATGGCGACATTTTTCAGGTTCGATTCCAACTCCCCATAACGTGGTGAAGGGTAGAGTGACAATAGGCTCACTCTCAGGAGCACCCCTCATAATACTTCTTGTTCCTGACATTGTTTGTTTTGCCCCATCTGTTGCTCTTTTTCATTTTCTTACTCGGAGAGATGTTTGAGGGCGAGCAACCTGAGTTGATGAAACGGGGTTTGGCCGTTTGGTTTGACAGGCCAAATAATCCGTGTATCGTAAGCACAACTAACGTACATATGTGTGTATTTCCAAAGAAATTAACAAACCAACCCATCATCTGGGTGATATACTGTATTTTTGCTTTGAATGAAATATCCTGTTATTTTCTATTGTGGCCAAAAAATGATTCAAACTCTGGAAACTAAAAAATTTACACCAAGATTTGAATATTGCAGTACCTAGACAGAGCAGCGTTCAATTGTTGGGTATGACGAAGGGGGTATAATAGATCAACGAAATATACCGGTAGTACCATTAGAATGCCCATAGAAGGATTAAACTAGGCAAAACCTTCAGCTCACTTAAGAATCTTGCGTAGACCTTGAGGGTAAGGACAGAAATACGAGGCTATCCTGCTTCTCTGGGGTATATGGATAGGATAGATATTGATGAAATAATTTTTCTCAGTTTCCGAAAATGAGAGAGGTAATAACAGGAAGCCCAGGCCCAGACTTATACCAAAAACCAAATATATAATAACTCATCCATCTTGATGTAAACATCGCTTGTTATAATATGAGAAAAAAAATATAAAACCGGGAAAATAAAAATAACGAGAAATAGATGTAGAGTGGTAGATTGAAGGGATGCCAGCGCAGTGTTGTATTAAGGTACCATGCTGGGAGTGTAAAATGTAGCTGTTTCTTCGACCAGTTGTGAAATATCCGGTAGATCATGGCCAAGGGTATCCATCAGCTCTGCATGTTCCTCATAGCTCAGTCTTCGATCTCTGAAAATACTAGATTGGTATGGCTGGTTGAAGAATTGGGAGTATTGGTCGCCAATAGTGCCTACCCACGACATGGGGTCGATTGGTGCACCAGGGTAGGTAAGATAACTGGCCGTTGTGGACGCTGTAGTGTAATTAGGATCCCAATGGTGCAGTCCAGGCACAATTGAAGGAAAATTATTGTGAAATGAACTTGGGTCAAAGTTGTTTGTTGGGGTAGGGCTAAGGTCACATCGTGCGAGTGAATTAATCACAGGAGATGAGAATGGCAGAGCCGGGCTGCTAGAGTTGGGATCGATGCTCGATCCGTTCCCGTTCGTGTATGTGACTTGCTGTGGTGGGGCAAGCTCGTAGGGTATTGTTGATATTGTTGCATGAGAAGGCGGCGGAGGAGTTGTGGATTCGAGCTTTATCTGCCCAGGGTGGAGCCTTGCCGTTTCAAAAGACGCGCGAGAATGTGCAGGTTCATATGGGCTTGAGCTAAGTCGGTTTGGTGTGGCCCTGGGTTGAGATATAGGAGATGGGACGGTAGCTGCTGTGTTGGGTGAATGGACCATGGGAGGGGGTGTTGCAAAATCAGAGCTAGGGGCTGGAGAAGGACGATTGGATGGCGGTGAATGGACCACGTAGGATTCATCCGTTGCATAGGCTTTGAGGCAGCCTGAGATAAGACTTTTGTAGAGCTCAAGGGCAGATTCAACTCCTGGCCAACGTTCGGAACTAATGGCAAGAATTTCCATCGCAAGGCGGATCTCGCCTATTACATCTTCGACGGGGTGTTCCCTTCGGATTTCAGGGTAGGAAAGTGACCATAAAATTGTGTTTAGTGCCATGAATACCGATTGTGTGAATATCCATGTCAGATCGATCGATCCGGTGGCAACCTGTTCACGCTGTATCTTGACGTTAAAGACCGAAGCGTCGTAGCATTTTTGAGCGGCATAGAGTGACGGCTCCGGAATCTGTGGAGATGGGCGGTACATGAACACGATCATCGTGTTGCGTCTGCCTTGGAACCTAATTATATCACTTAGACGGTGTCATGGAGTCAACGACTCTTACTAAAAGAAAACTCACCACATCTGGCTAAAGCCACTACCTTCATCATTTTTAGGGCAGGATTCAACCCATCGGTCCATCTTCTCTGTCATCTGTGTGAACCATGGGTCTCTATCGTCTAATGGGGCTGGTCGTTTGCAAAGGTACAGCTTGCGTCGAATTTCGGCTTGCAGGAGTCTCATTTTAAAGAAATGAATCGCAATGCATTTTTTCATTATTGGTTGCGCTCCGGGTAATATGCCGCCTGGTGTAATATAGCGGTCGTCACAGATTTGGAAGAAGTTGACATTGATATGGTCATGGCTCACGCAGAACGAGTTCGGGCGGCCAAGACTATGAGCAAGGCCGTATTCCATAGACGTTATAATCCAAAACAACCTCCTTCGCATGTCTATTTCAAGACAGTTAAGTTGTTCTCCATTTGAGCCTCTGGTGATGGTCTCTTCATCGGATATGCCGAGGTCTTGACATAACTTGGCTGCGATCCCAACCACCCAATATGCCGCTGTTCTTGTTGGCGTGAGAAGAGAATATAAGGCCATGAGGGCACAACATTGCAATGTAGAAATGTCCATCTTGGCCAAACATCCGTCAAAATACGGGAGTGCGGCTAGGTAATAACTGTCAGCCAACCCAGCATACTGCGTGCTGACTCTCTGCATGCTAATGGCGATGACGAGGCGCAATTGAAAGTTCCGGCATGGGTCTTGAGATCCATTAAAAACAATATCGACATCAGAGCGGAAAGTTGGTTCATGCAGTATGGGAACCATATATTGAGCTATTGTACAGAATGAATTAGCTTCACAATATCCAAAAACCTTGAACTGCAAACAAGCTCACCCCTCGCTATAAAGATATCAATAAGTTTATTCGTGAGTTCACGAGGAGGCAGGTTCGGCTCAGCAACGGAACTGATCATAGGATAAACCTTTGAAGTTGGCTTTTGGCTTTCGATGTCAAAGACCGACTTTATCTGTTGCGCGGTATTCTCATTCACCACCTCCTTTATGGATTTGGAGCCAGTATTCTGCTTTGCCATATCCATCACGAACCGGGTAATGGCAATGCCGCTCGACGGCCCCAAAAACCTAGATTCATCTGTCTCCTTGAATTTGATAAGCCCAGCTCCGCGCGCCATTGCCTCTGCGTCGGGGGCCCTGTCGGCTTCATCTTCAAGCTCCTCGAGCTCGCGAGCGAGCTTTCTGATTTTCTCTCGTAGTTCTAGAATATATGCACGCGATACGGTGGTTTCTTTGGCGTGGTCATAGTATTCGCATTTTGAATTGCTTCTCTTACATGGCTCGCATCGGGGAATGCCTGGATCACATCGGGATTTCCTCTACAAATGAACACACATTAGCCACGGAACTAATCGTATTAGTCTCCAACAAAATCCGAATGCTCCCTGGAATGAAGGGGAATAAAGGGCTATGTATGATAAAAAAGCAAATGATGCGATGGCCGTTACCTGTTTGCACCGTATGCAAGCTGTCAGCGTGTGTGCGATGCGGGGAGCGTTGGCTTCATCGGACTGCGATGGGCGAGCGGCAACCGAGGTTTCTCGAAAGCGCGAGGTGGTAGGCCCTACGGCGGCGGGCTCCATTAGGATACATGGGGTCTGTACTGCAGACCCTAGTCGTGTGCACTGGCTCTCAGCATGAGCAAAAGATATCGAGTGTTGGGGTTGTTGTTGCAAGGGGACGAAGCGGGTTTGACGTAGGGCTGAACTAAGCTACTGTTTAGAGCGATCGCTTTGGTCGATGAGATCGGTCACGTGGTGGATTAAGCGCCCCTTGCATGAGAGAGATATAGGGAAGTTTAGACGGCAATTGACGATAGATGGCAGAAGAAAGGGGCTGATGGGCACGATTAAGCTACTAAGATAAAGGGCAGCCACTGCAAGGTAGCAGCGTATATATATTTCACAACTATGTACAGGAAGTAAGATATTATATGAACAAACAGTGCAGAGTAGTCCCAGGACCACCCTTTTAAAGTAGCGTGACCGAAAGCAGCTTACTTTAGCTTGCTGAACATAGCCTTGACACCCGCCCAGGTTTCCTCACCACTTGGGATGATCTGGTCTGGGGGTAGGACGAAGCCGTACATACCAGTGTCACGCAGTTCGGCAGCGAAGGCAGTCTCACCCTTGATCTCATCGAGAACCCAGTCGACAGAGTTACCGTTGGCTTGGTAGATGGTGCTGCAGATGGGTCCAGTGGTGAAGCTGGTTCCATGGACAGCTTTGACAGCATCGGCAAAGGAGCTTGCCATTTCCTGGAGGACATCGTCGTTTGGTGCACGAGCAGAGCAACTGTATCCGTATGCTATTTGACCATATAATTTAGTACGGTAGATTCGCCAGGGATGTTTTATACGGTGTAAACATACGGGTCATGAAGAGCTGAGAGTATGAGTGCCAGTCGACAAACATCTTGACGCCAGCGCCATCGGCAAGGCTTTTGATGAAGCTGGTGCTAGCCTTGGTCTCGGGAGCAGAGCCGGGGGAAGGTCCTTATCCGCGGGTTAGCATAGACAATAAGTATAAAACCCAGTGGCATGGTGTACATACCTCGGTAAGTTTCAGAGCATGGATCGGTGGTAGAGCCATCTCCTTCCCACTTGTAGGGCCAGTTACGGTTGAGATCAGTGCCGTAGCAGCCTTTCTCGTTCTGCTCACGGTTCTTGCGCCACATGCGGTCGCTCTCGGTGGTGAAAACAAAGCCTAGGTGAGATTAGTAACTATGCATAGGTAAGGCCATGGATGGAAGTAATGCTTACCGTCAGGGTTAGCGATTGGGAAGATGTAGAAGTCAAATTTCTCAAGAAGAGCAGCTCCAGCTTCTTTGTCCTCAAAGAGCTGGGCAAGGATGTACTCAACAGTCTAATAGTAGATATAAAGTTAGCAATGGTTCTTCTATTGTTGAAGAGATGGGTTAGCGTACCATGGTAGTGATCCACTCGCGAGCATGGACAGTTCCGTGGAACACAACAGCTGGCTTGGATCCTTTCTCACCGCTTCCCCAGACGTGGACACCGGTGATATCACGGCCTTCATGAGATTTCCCAGAAGTGACAATCTCAGCATTCTCAGCATGAGCACTTTGGAAGTCCTTCATGAACTTCAAGTGGTCCTCGTATTTGTGGTACGATTGGAACCAAGTATCATTGGCACCACCGTCTGCAAAAACTCAATGTAAGTCACCGAATTTGTTGATTCAATTCAACACAGGAAATAGTAACTCACAGGTGTAGGGGCGGAATGACATCTCGGACTTGATAGAGTTCCCTAGGTTCTCATGCATGACCTGCTTCTTGAGACCGGCAGCGTGGGACATCTTCTCAAACTCGGCAATCTTCTTAGGAGGAATGACAATGTCAACATTTGCATTAGCGGCCTTAGGGAACTTCCAAGTCTCCAGGCCCAGCTTGGAGACTATGTGAGAGATCTTGCTAGTGTCATCTCCGGATACACGCATGACTTTGTATCCATTGTAGTTTGCGCTCTGGGAAGGAATAGCACCGCCCAGTGCCGAGCCGAGGAGCGTGGCAAGCACCAAAAGGGACTGCATGATTACAAGAGGAGTGGAATTGGATGCCTGAAGGAAAAAAAGGGAGGTATAACGGTCGTAAAGAACCAGACACCAGTGCCTGAGGTTTTCTGCGTAGAGAAACACAAAACTCTAGCAGATGCGATGGAACGAAGCCTAGTACTTATAGTAACGCGTATGCTTCGGATTTGCCGATCAGCGGGAGAAAAAGAACATCTGCTGTGATGAATAAGGTTCCTCTCCTTTCGGAGTGGAGAAGACTGTCTGAGAGACTGAAATGGACCAGAGGGCACTCCGTACGCTAAGTTTTGACCACATTATGAAGAGTAATGCGCCCACATGGTGTTTCCATTTACGCCAAACACGGGTATTGTGTTGTGATTCTATTTCAGGAGGCACGGGGCCCTTGTCTAACACATATCTTTACTCCGTAAGGAGCGCCAATAGACGGAAAGCACTCTCTAATTCATATGGTTATGATGCCATATGAAGCACTCACCCTCACATATGGGGTTAAATACTTCTGGTAGCCTCGACAACTGAGGAGATATGACGCCAGAAGCAGAAGCAGGAACAAGGCGCACCTCTGCCGCAGCCAGCCGTTTTGCCCCATGCCGGAGGATTATCTTCGGGCATTCCTTAGAGAAGTGGTTACAATATCAAAGGTTGTATGACGATCGCGCGGCATACGGCAAGGCCGCGCACAGCTGAACATGCAAAAAGCAAGACAAGACGTCACTTGTCAACCACACATGCAAGCAAGCGCAACATAGCGACGAACATGCCTGGGTGGAAGAAGCACGAACTGGGGCGTCATGAATATCCATCACGAGTCTTTTTAAAAGACCGACGTGCCGATCTTCTGCTGACTCCACAGATAAACAACCGTAATCAAACCAGAGAGAACAATATGGCATAAGAACCGTGTCTGTCATGCAAGGTTCTGGAAAATGGTTTCAAAGCAACATAGCGGCAGGCACGTCAGGTCCTATTTTTCAAGCTGTTCCTCATTTCGCTGAGGTGCTCAGCCTGCCCTTGAGCGTAATACAACAACAAGCTTTTAGGAGTCGGTTTGAGAGTTCCACTCTGCCGATTCGCTAACTCATCATCCTGAAATCCTCCTACGGAGTAATTTTGGTCTGATGCACCGGAGATTTTCGTTGGTCGCGTTCAACCCAGCGCCAGCCCTGGATAGCCAAGAAACGCCCTATCGTTGGCTGTCTTGCCCCTGAGGCTTTCCACCAGAAGACGATGAATTGTCGAAATACTGAGTTTTAACTAGCTCGGTGGGCCAGCGTTGCAGTCGATAAGTCCAGGATAGTTGCAGGTGAAGGCGTCGCTTTTCCTCCAAACAACTTCACGTCGACGTCGACGTTGAAACATCCAGCTTGCAATACGGAGTAACATGCGTTGTTTGCTTCTCGGAGAAAAGGCGTCCTTGACTGGTTGATATACAGGTACAGGATGGATGCAAGATCGCGTCTGAGGGTAGCGTGACTGCCAGAGACGCTGGTGAAACTCAGGAGTGGCGGGAAAGCCACACGCGGCCCCGGTTATTTCTCTCTCAAGGAGCTTCAGCATGAGACAAAATATCTGGCTCCAGAATACGGGCTGGGGAATGCGGGGATGAACGGGGCCCGGGCAAACATTTATCGGATATTTATTAATCCGTTAATCTCACGTGTTATCTGATGACTAATACGTCACAGAAAAAACAAAGACAAAAACAACATCAGCAAAATCTACAAGGGGTCAGTCGATGAGCATCTTGCGCACTAATGATCAGTGCAAAGAGAGGAAAGCGGAAATAACGCGCGACGATGAGTTGTCCGGAGCATGAAGACGGTATGCCAGTACATTTTGTATGACGCCTTACCTTCAGCTGCTGGGGTTGCACAGGTTATACGACTTGGATGACGAAATCATAGGGAACTTGGCGGCATCCATAGCCCGGTCTTTGCTGAACACCTACGGATATGGATGATCCTATCTACTGGAGCCTGAGGAAGAGCCTGATGACAATACACCGTAAAGCTACAATTATGACAAGAATAGAACATCTACGGGGAAATTGATATGTTATCTGAAGATACGCGGTAAAACCCCAAATTCGTTAATTAGCTGTGTGGCCTGATGCCGCATCACTACTTCTACTTCCACTTGATAGTGTAAGTGTTTCCTCCAGGACCCAAAAATATAACGTGAATCATCACAGCGAGCTTGCAAGTACCATCCTACTTGGCAGAAGGGTGTATGGAAACTGTTCATATCGCCGGCTGTCTGCCGGTCAGCTTGGCGCCACCTACCTTGATAAAGTAGTTATGCGCCGCTGCCATTATAGAGCAACTTTTTAGTTGTGTTTGGTTTTTGGTTCGTAACGCTCTCCGATGCCAGTTGCTTGATGCGATCACAGACTGTATCGGGGCCAATCCCCTCCAGCGCCATCAAATAAGCCCCAACCCCACAGACGTGAGGAGAAGCCATCGAGGTCCCGGACAAAGTCGCCGTGTCGTCATTGGGATATGCAGAAACTATATCGGCTCCAGGGCCATATACTGCAACTATGTTTTAAGGACCGTAAGCCTTTTGAGCCCTCAAAAAGCCATGTATCATAATTTCAGCGGGAAACTAGACATACCAACAGATCCATAGTTAGACCAGGATGTTGCCGCATCTTGAGAGTTGGTAGCGGCAGCAGTGCAGACACCTCTTGCGGAAGCTGGGGAGAACTGTCCCGCGTCGGTCTTTCAAATACATTAGCCCCCTAGCCTACCCAGCCGGGTGAGAGCAAAAAATGACATGCTTACTCCATCATTCCCAGCTGCCACAGCCAGGAATATACCGGACGCCTGAGCTGCCTCCGCAACTCGGTTAAAGATAGTAGACCCGCGGATACCCAGACTCAAGTTCATGGCTGCTTTGCCTCTCAAGCCATTTCTACCAGCATGGTCGGTACACCACTGGATACCTTGGATAACACCACTGGTAGTCCCCGTGCCCTGGGCATTGAGTACCTTGACAGCAACGATGTTTGCTTTCTTAGCAATACCATACGTTGCGCCTCCAAATGTTCCGGCAGTATGAGTGCCATGGCCATTTTGGTCCGTATCTTCATCGTCAACGGTATTTGTTCCCCATGCTGCACGGCCACCAAATTCAGGGTGTCTAATATCGATGCCGGTATCAACGCCATAGATGGTAATGCCACTCCCGGCGCTATCATCAAACACATAGTCAGCGCTGCCAACTCTCCTATGTGAGATTCGTCCAAGTCCCCATGATGGTGCATCGCGTTGGGTGGAGATGGCATCTAGTTTAACCACACGGTCTACTTCAACATAGTCGACCTGTTTGGTTGGGCGTAGTCAAACATAAGCACACACACAACTTAATGAATTGTTCAGCCACGTACCGCAGGGTTTCTGGTAATCAGCTCAATTGTCTTTTTGTCGAAGGCGCCACTATAGCCCTTGAGGCCCTCGAACTGGAAGGTCGCCTTTAGACCACCAAAGTCATCCAATACTCCATCTCGCTTGCCTAAGCTACGGCTGTGGATTTTGGATGCCCAAGCCTGGTGGCTTTGGAATTCAGCCTCCGAGACAGCACTCTTCATCACAACAATGTAGGAATTAGGAATGACATCCTTGGTATTCTCGAGGCCAATTAGCTTAGAGGGAATGGCCAGAGATAAGGCACAAAGGGAGAGCGAAAATAAAATGCGGAAAAACCCCATAATCACGTAGGTCACAGTCGATGTTCAGTTGATGCTGTATAGAAAATGATGCTCTACTCAGACGCCTAGGGTAATCTCCATGGCTTATATAGTGATTTTTGGCATCTCTACTGGCCCTATCTGACACTGTAGAGGCGTAATAACCGGAACTTGTCTTCCTCATTATCACGAGGGTTGCACCTCATGCTGCATAAATGATACCTTACCTGGGTAACTGCCGCAGGTGTACGCTAGAGCAAACCACATGAGCCTGGTACAGTCAGGTTATAGGATACCACGGATGCTCTATGCCTTCTCAGGGTCCACAAACCAGTCTACGATCGGCTCGCCATCCTGGGCCAAATTACTTTGTTGGACAGCAGGAGCAGAATACGCTGGCACCAACACGGTATAGAACTCATACGGAAGTTGTCGATGTAACTCTTTAGGGTGAATCGTGGGAGATATATCGGATATAAACCAATCGTCTGGGTATCGAGACGCCACTGGCGTCACCACTGATCCGTCACATAACATTTCTATCGGCAGCGAAGCATGTGCAAAAACATGAACATGTGGGTTATACATGTTTGTAGATACCAGAGCAAAAATTCGGCACAGCCTTCGAAGGGTCAGATATCATTTTTGGCAGTTGCTAGTATCTTGATAAGAGCAACGATAAATAAGAGACCATATCTAGAAGATATAGCCATAGAAGATATCCAAATGATTAACAGGTAGCGTTTCCTTCCTTAGGGGTGTGACTTGGCTAGCGGATATTGCTCATTGAAGAGATTCCGGGAAGAATAGAGGGATAAGGATATTAAACGAACCCCAGTCAGCCAACGGCAGAGAGGGATTGCCTGGTTAAGGATTTCAGTATTCCATTGGTTAACTTCCTGATATCCCGACTTAGGGATACGTCCATAAGTGATCTTGCCTGGATGACAAAGTATATGATAATTGTTCTCTTGCGCAATTTGGTAAGGCTCTCAAATGGGTAGCTGGTAGTATTGCGTATCCAAATGTATCCAGGACACTACTACCACCAACACTTTTGCTGAGATCACTTGTTAGGCAAACAACATGAGACATTTCGATCATTTACCTAGCTCATATGTTATGATGTCTGAGGTATCGTATATTGTGTTGGTTGCACATCTTCTTTCATGATATCCTCGGTAGACGCAATCATCGGCAGTTGCACAACACACCACTGGTTAATATAAATAAACGGATATGTTACACCGCCAGCGGAGATTGCAACTGAACTTTGCACAAGTTTGACATGTAACTCGTGCGCTCACCTCTTCAAAAGACAATAGTATATCGCGTGAGGGAAGTGGATGGGTGACTCTCCTGACAAATTGCAGCCAGAGAATGAAAGCTGAGGAAAGAAGGGCCACTTTCCACCGTTAGTTAAGAGTGCGGGAGGATTACCCGAAACCTGTGGTACATGGAGGAAGAGCTAACTTTTGAAAGCAGAGAGACTCCAAAGGCGCAAACCGGGAGATAAGTTAAGATTCGATATAAGATAAACCCGTCGATCACCAGTGTTACTTGGTTAATCTACTCACCAAACAGGAGCTCCAGTCATGAACTAGCACTTTGTGAAGAGGGAGTTGTATTCATCTCTAAAAGCCGACGGAGTACTAAAATTGGATCTTGTTAACCTCGGGCACATTCAATGCTGCTAGTGGCAGCATGCATATATGGGGCATAGTAGATGACCAATATTAGAATCCTAGAATTCTGGTAAGACCAAGAAGTCTGCTAGTAGAATTTGCTCCGTGTTCAACACTAGATGCAAATACTTTTTCACCCATAAAGTAAGAGAAATCAGGGAGTAATGGAGAAGTTCGATCCAGAATTGGCCATACAGCCTATTGCATGAGAAGTCTCAAATGGCGTGCGTATATTAATCATTGTATAAGGCTCTGGAGGGACTGGTTATCTCACCACAACATATGTATTCCGTGGGCATCTCGGCTGGCTGCACATTTATCAAGGCCTGTGACCTCTTCAGGCCGTCAATAAGGTCTGACAAAAGTATAGAATATGTAATTCTATATTCGCTAACGGCCTTCATAAATGTTTCGGTTATATCGTAACTAGAAAGAGTTACATACACGGAGAACAAAGCTCGGATAACGGTGTATATTGAAAGGAACGCCTTTCCATATCAATAGGCAAATTTGCAAATGCAGAGAGGTCCCTCGTTTTGAGTTTCACTCTGTGCGCTCAGGCACCATTCACTTGGTGAATCCTCTGAGTTCTCTCTCTGAACTGGACGATTGGCCCCTGCTTTTCCGGCACAAAATGATCTTTCAACTGATATTCGTCTTTCCTCCATCGACCTGGATGTTTTCTGGCAGCCACTTGAATATCATTCTTCCCTTCTAACTTATCACTTAGAATAATTCGCATATCAAAATTAAAGATCAGCGTTGCAAGAGTCATCAGGAGTTCGAGGTAGGCCAAATTCTTCCCCATACAGCCTCGAGGCCCTGCACTAAAAGCGAAAAAGGCATATCTTGCGTTGGAGGCGTCTTCAATTGTGCTCTTTTCACCCTTAGAGACAACTAAACATGGTTTATCAGTCCCAATCCATCGCTCGGGCCGAAAAACGTAAGGGTCCGGGAAATACTGTGCATTGCGATGGAGGACATATGGTGAGACTCCAAACGTCATCCCTTCTGCGATGTAATTTCCATCGACAGTGATTCCTCCAGGCAATGTTTCCACCATCAAGTTACTTGGTATTGAGGGGCTGAGTCTTAGTGTTTCATCAATAATTGCTCGCAGGTAGGTGAGGCCGTTGAGCTTGGTTCCACCACGAATCTCCTCCGCTGAGCTAAAGGCGGATTGGATTTCAGTCCTCGCTTTCTCTAAGCATTCTGGGTTGTGAATAAGGTAGAAGATAGCGCCAGATAGTGCTGTAGATGTTGTATCAGATCCTGCTGCTATCAGAAGACTAGACTCGGCAGCGAGTTCGCCACCAGTAAGCCCCTGGCCGGTTTCTGGATCCTTTGCATTGATTAAATAATGCATCAGGTCTTTTTTGGGGAAATCTGGATCGTTTATCTCAGTGGCCTGGAGGCGTTTGCTCATCTGCTCGGCGCCATATTCATTATAACGCCTCCCGTCTCGCGCCAACTGTCCACCAAGGACTTCCATTATCTTGGTTCCAAGTAAAGGTCGAACAAACCTCACAAATGGTAGGTAGCCGAGCTATCAGAAATATGGTTAGTTTCAATACATTGTAACGGCGAGAATTAGTTTGCTTGGGCTAACATTGTATAGAAACTGAGTTGCAGTAATGAGCAGCTCGGGAACATATCTATTGTCCTCGCTTATAAGACAGTTGAACTTCGTATTGAATACCAAATCCCCCATGATGTCGTAGCTAAGATACGTACACCAATGGTCCATATTCTGAGGGGTCCCCCATTCTCCGGGAGACGCGGCGGTTTTGCTCAACTGGTCACAGAATGTTTTGATATTTTCAACGATGAATTCTTCGGAAGATCTTAGAGCAGCATCTGAGAATGCTTGCTCCATCACGCGGCGCCGGACGCTGTGTTTCTTCTTGTTGGTCTCGGAGTGAACGTTGTGAGCGTATGAAGCAGAAGCATATAAAGTTAGATACCAGTCGCTTCTCTGGACATTTGCGCTGCGGTGGTATATCTGTCGCATAGCAGATGCACTGTTGACTGACAATTTATTGGGGCCAGTACGCACTATTGGGCCTACGAGGTCCGAGAATCTTGTTAGATTCTTCTTGTTCTACCGTTGTCTATATTCAGCATACCATAGATTTCATGCTGTCTTAGGCATTCCAGATGATGGTCACCACCGATGACTTCAAAGAAAAAGGGCCAGTCTGACAGCTTGTTCCAGAACGGTCCGGGGTATTTCGCAAGAGGATGTAGCATCAGGCGGTACGCTGCAACCAGAGAAATCTAGATTCATTAAAACTGGTCAGCCGGGGAGGATCGTTCAGTGTCTGGGTAACCTTCAGAAATTGTGATGTGAGAACCAAATAACAGAATCCTTCTCACGTATGCTGCAATGACTGTGATAATAAATGAGATAATCCATTTCCCTTGAAGTTCCCCGATTAGAGGCAGTGGGCTGGACGAGTCCATCTTAATCAAGTTATCCTGCTCAGTTGATAATTTCTGATATCAATAGGAGATCAGAGAAGAAGTCAGGCAGTCAACCAAGGGGAGGCGGGGATCCAGTGATATAAGTATTAACAGACTGCCCGTGCTGGAGCGTATAATGCATGTCAGGGTTTTAATCCTGACTGGTATTACGGTGCTTCGACAACAACCGAACTTCAGTCAACTTTCATGGGCCAATGGAAGCCTCTTCACTGGTTTCGTATGCACACTGAATAACTACCCCACGTTGATCCAAGAGTGTCTGGCTTCTACTTCTTCAACATCTCTGTCCACGGTATCAAGTCGAACATCTGGCCAAGAGTGTTATGATGACCATGACTACCCCGTATGAGCATGGCTCCCTCAACGGGTTGTCCAAGTGACTTTTGTGTCTGTGCGGAGTAGTCATGCCATATTCTAACCTGCTTGCATGCAGAGATGCAGAGGCGTTCATGGGTCTCCATGTAGGCGTTTTGTACGGCACATCCAAGTCATCGTCCTCATCCCTGAATCCAAACGCTCGAAAACAAAACCTGAGAAATAGGGTGTGTGCCTTTCCCATTGGTGGGTTGATTTAAAAGGTTATTATTGGTTAACTAGTTAATTTATTGGTAGAATGTACTCCGACGCTTATTGGCTTATACAACTAATAATTCTCAGCACTATGTGATGAGGGTCCAGCTAGACATCAGGATCTAGTCAGGACTTTTGCTGGGATAGGTCGTTAATCAATGCTTATTCACCCCGTTTCGCCCCGAGTTATATTGAGCTTAGGAGGTTTCGAAGAATTTATACAGGTAATAACATATTTCCATGCTTAAGCAGTAGCAGTCTCGAGGATTAACATTAACATGTAACTATTAACTAATGAGTTAACCAGACAGTGCGAGCTAACAAGCTCAATAATTGATATATGCAGCGTTAACTATATACTGTTAAATATAAACAATAGGCCATTCTTTACGATGACTTCTAGGAGGGGATTGAGATATCATAATCAAAGCACACATGAAATTAAATTCTACTGGCATGCCATCACTAGATCAGCACTGGTCAACAGTAACAGGGTCGGACTCCACGCCATCGCCGAATCCTCCAACGGCAGCAACTAGAACCTTCTCAGCTGCGGATTGCGCCTGTATCGTGGTTTCAAACCCGGTCCGAGCCTCATCCTTAATCTCCTTTGGCATGCCACCCTCAGACACCTCGAAAACCTTCCATGACGTGATGTCAGTTGAGCCATTCCAGCTCACGTACACCACAATATCCTCACCGGCCTTGCGGCATGCCTTGACGCTTGGCTTAGTTGCGGGCATTCCAGTCCAGGCGACACGGTGAACTCGATAAGAGGCATCAACCAGATCATGTCCATAGCGGATTTGCATGACAAGTTCATCGTCCTTGTTATATTCTTCAATAAGTGGAATTTGACCGTGGTGTACCACACAATGGCCAGTATCCAAGGCTTGGAAGCTCCCTAGATCTCTTGAGACAACGGGGTGTTCGTGGTTCCACATTCTTCGCCGTCCAACGACTTCCATCTTCTGAAGGTCAATGTCCATTATAAGTCCAGTGGTGGGTTTCGTTCCATTGCTGAATTCTGAGTTATCGTTGTTGTGCATAGAGAGAGTGATCTTCTCATCCGTGATAGTCTTCCCCAGGCGTATACCGTATTGGAAGCAAAAGTTGGAATTGGGTCCCATTTTGAAATCACCGCCAGTTATGCCCTGATGGTCTCGAATTAGCCGTCGGTCAACGGGAGTTGTATTCTAAGATAAAGGAAAGGGAAAACCACTTACATTGAGGTTCCAAGCAACTGAACCATTGCGAGCAATGTGCAGGACACTGCATCCATAGTCCCAGGAGACAAGGTAGTCATCTCCATATCTGACAGTGGAGGATACACGGAAGAAATCCCAAGGATTCTTCTCGGATGTTCCGGTACCAGCTAGCGGACGCTGAGATAGCTTGAATGGGATCTGGTCGATGTGCTCCACAGCACTCCAACGGAAGAGGACCTTGTTCGTCTCGATGTCAATGTCGTAAATCAAGCCATCAACAACCCAGCCGTCCTTTGGACCTCCCACGGACTGAAGATCCGCCTGAGTGATATTTGCAGCGGCCACGAGGAGGGACTTCTTCTCGTTTTCAATGATGCCTTCGTGATAGTCGATGTGAGATTCAACCTCGTGGTCCAGTCCCGTGTTAAAGTATCCTTCGGTAAGAGTGACCTTGTGCACTAGGTGATAAGAGCTGTTGAGAAGATTGACAGCACCGTGGCCATAACCCGTGCCGGTGAAATCTCCTTCCCAGTAAACGAGCATAGGGTTGTTGCTCAGGTTCTGAGGTCGAAAGCCGTAGATATTTCCCTCAGGTCCCTGCCAGACAAGCTCGCCATCATCCTTGTAGATTGATGGGTGTCCACTGCGGCGGCCGTTCCAGGGGGTAACAAAGATATATCCGGAATCTGTCTCGCCCATCTTGGTCGTCTCGAGGACGGAGGCATGAATATCAGTGCTGTTATAGGACTGTACAGGCCATGTGCTGTTGGGAGCCAACGCTGCCTGTACAGCCGTAGCTCCAAAGCCTAGGGCGCAGAGGGTAACCAGAGACGGCGACATTTTGGCAATTGATTCCTTCCGGTATGGTAAACTTGGTCCTCTTGGGTCTGATGAGGGCTGGAGACGGCTTTAAGGCTCGAATATTTATATTCATGCTGTACAGGGATGCATCCAGCAAGCCACCGACCCTCGCTGCCATGAGGTGATTGTCGTATGTAGGATAAGCCATATCTTCAACACTGTTTGAGTCTGGGGAGTCGAAACGCTGAGCCGACCAATAACACCCATCGATCTGGCCCGGAAATAGATCCCGAAATCGAGCTCGAGATAGCCAGGCAGTACTGCATGGCGAATTGTGGATTCGACGTAGTATCAAGTCCAGTAGATCGCAGCTGCCGCCGGTCCGTCAAGCTGACTCGGGCTCGAGATATCGGGACTTGCTCCACCGAAAGCAAATCCCGATTCCTGGCTTGCAGGGATCTCTTCTATGTACAGGGTCGATCAAACCCGGGCGTGGAGAGTTGCCGGCACCAGCTTTGTTCCCCGGCCGTGGGGTGAGACCGCTAAAAGCACTAGCATTGAGCCAACAATATATCGATATGCCAACACGAAGATGCCAGCTGTTGTCTTCCTCGCTGTTGGCGCTGCTGATAGTGCGTTAAAGTGTTGCAGATTGTCGGTGGCACCGTGGTTATTCAGGGGTAACTAGTTAACGAAGCGGCTGTTGACGATCGTCCTGCAACAAGTCAACTTTAGCTAAGCTACCAAGCCTCCAGTTGTTTCAGGGCCTTCAACCTATCAAGAATCACGATTCATACCAATTCAGGCGGCTTCTAAAGATAAACTGCCTGACCGTCATGTACACAGTGACCCCATATGCATAAATTTGAACTGATTACAAGTTGCGGGATGGATTTCTGTGCTTCCCTATATCGACTTACCTACTTAGCTAACTACTGATCTGTCTAACTAAATAACTATGTACTACGAGCTCGATGCCAACTAACCAGCAAGTCAGTCAAGCATCTCAAAGCTCTGGTGAGGTCAAACGACCAAACTATACACAAGAATGAATTAAATAAGAACATGGCGTGATTGCCCGTAAAACGCCACCCGCATGAACCGAAACCGACCCATTCCCTCCTATTCCCCATGCATCACCAATATAAATGCAAACCTCCTCTTTCCAGACATGTTCCGAGCTCTGCAGGCAGTAAGCAAAGTAAGACTGCGCAAGACCAAATCTATTTACGGCTCTTTCGCTTGATTCTTAGGGGCCCCACAGACCCTCTCCGGAAACAACCCAGGGGGTTTTGGTATGTACCCATTACCACGTCCCAGATGGTGAGCATCTGCCCGAAGTTGGCCTTGGGGTTGAGATGGTGTACTGTGTGGAAACCCTCTCTGCTGTCGTCTGGATGGAATAAGCATGGTCAGCTTCGATTATAGGTCAAAATGAAGCAGTCAAAGCACGACAATTTAGAAGGCTTGACGTACGACTGAGGATGGTCTCGACAGTACTAGACATCAAAAGGATGAGATATGCTGTAGTTGACATGGGGATAAGGAAGGGTACTCCCAAGTTGGGGAAGCTCATGATGAAGGCTTCCACTGGATGGAATGCAAAGGCGGAGAAGGGAGTCGAGATGATAAATCTAAAAATATAAAGTATCTGTCAGCATCGCTGCCCCAGCCCGTATCTTACATATATGGGGAGGAGAGCCGACTAACCTGTGATGGCTTTTGTGGGTATACGAATATAGCACTGGGATATGAAACATGCGATGCAGCCAGTAGACTCCCGTCTCGGTAAGGAACATCGCGAGTGGGTACTGCATGACTTCATACCACAGCCCTGGTCCATCTTTCATAGAGTGATATAAACGGGAATACCCATGTATCTGTAGCATGCCAAAGACGGTATTTGCCAGTCCAATGCCCAGAATACCAAGCAAGGACTCAATAATCTCATTTCTGATCTGAGCTCCGCGGAATCGTCTGTCTATTTGTAACTTATGGTCAAAGGACCGCATGTACCATATGGTTGATAAGATTGCGAAGAGGAGAGTGTGGCCTGCCCTATATCATAGCTATTAGTAGGTGGCGACCAGATATCGGATCTTCAGTAGATAGGCTCACAGAGTCAGAATGAAGAGAGAGCCAGCCTGTCTGTAAGCTGGCCGAACATCCAGCAAGTTGGTATGAAGAAATGAGAGTAGCTGATCGTAGTAGACCACCAGCGAGGAGAGCCCTATCGAGGGTATATCCTCCAGGTATAACGGGCCATTCTGGAGGCTCTTCAACGCAGAGAAATTGCTATACACCTGGTTAGACATGACGACTCGAATATCAAAGGTGGAACAACAAATAGATTCATGATGTTGCAGCTATGCTGAAACAGTCCGTGGAATGCAAGGCCTTTATCTTCCCTTTCTTCAAAATATACATCACTCACCATTCATTGTTATTTGCACTGTGAGGGATATATTCTTTTTGACCCAGACTCGATGCGGCGATGCAGCAAAGAAATGCCTCTCTTTGATTCATCTATGAGGCATTGTCCTCCGTCACCTGGATTGACCGGACCAGCCACTAGTTTAGCTAGTCGAGAGAGCCACAAACCGTGCGTAGTAGTTTGCTTTTTCGTATTAAGCGCTGCTTATTGTTATCAATATGACAACCAACATTTAGAGTGCAACCCCTTACCAATAGACAGCTTCTTTGTATGGTACAACACGATTATGGAAGTTGCGGAGCGGGTGAATAGGAACTCAAAAATTTAGGGTTGCCCGAGAGGAATATAAAGTAACAATGATACAAAAGAAAAGACGAGGACCTCCAGCGTTCATGCAGCCGACGGCGTTGAGCTTGGGCTAGAGCGTTCGGCGTACCAGAGTTAGATTGATATCAAAGAATGAGAAAAATACATCTAAACGGTAGTATATAAGAGGAGAGCCCCTTAAATCCGAAGGGAGCCCATTAGATAACACATCACTTTAAGGTCCAGCGGCAGGATGCTAGAGTTGGCCTTTTTACCGTACACTCGGCTCGCCATGGCATTTCCCAGGGCCGATTTCGCTATAGTAGGCGGTTCATTCTTCATTGCTCTCTTGCTGCTGTGGAAATCCCTTATCCATAGAAAGGTAATACGTCTCCTTGCTCGTGGACACCGAAACACGCTGTTAACAAGAGGCCAAATTAATAGAATACATCCAAGCTCCCCTTACCTCCTTATGCCCCTATCACGGTAGGTCGAACGCTCACAGAACCAAATAACCGGAAACCTGTTCGATATGCTCTGACCTGTATTGCATCAAGGACCATGAGCTCCTTCATTCGCCTATCGAAAAAATGACGGAAGGGCTGCGGAAGCATGGCCCAGTGATTATGGTCAAACGAAACGGCAGGGTGAGAGAGGCCCCTTTTTATGTGCAAATCGAATGGTTAAACGGCGATAGACCTGCTAATAACAGGGATCATTCATGCAGAAAGAATACCTCGTTTCAGAGCAGTTTACACGAACGATCCTAACTGAAGACAAGTCCTTCAGTTTTGAAAACGGCATGGCAGAGGTAAGATTCCCATTTCCGGATCGGGCTTCGGAACGATCATATAATAACAAGATGGAATCTAGGTCCTCGGCATTAACTGGCTTATCAACCTCCACGAAGGATCTTTTTTCCGTGATTTGGATATCATCGCGAGAGACTTCTCAGGCCGACGACTGAACCAGGCTGTTCCAAAAAGTATGCACTGAGGCTGTCTTGCCTATTTGCAACCATACTAATACCGGCCGTGAAATTAGTATGGCCTATATTCGAGCGAGTTGTTTCAGAAATAACAACGGCCGGGCAAGAACGAAATTCTATCGATATCTGGGTCATAATGCAATCAACCATGGCCGAGGTAGCAATAACTATCTTCCTTGGTCAGGTAAGCGTGGCTGCGTGTTCATTTTACCAGTTCGGTGCATCCGACTGATAGGGTTGAAATCGTAGAAGTACAACAATGTTGAATATCAGAAGAGCGTCATTGCCCTATCCCAGGATATCACAGAATTGATGGGATTAGTCCCTAACAAGTCGTGGGCCGCACGGAAGTTGCCTTTTCTGTGGCATCCTTACACATGGTGAGCTATTTCCAACAGCGTGGATGTGGGGATAATATTAACAATGAAAGGTAGGATCCGAATCATGCTCATTCGAATTCCCTGGGATTTTGGGCGGAAATTCTCCAGTGACTTATGGGCAGATATATCCGTCAAGTATATACCTCGCGACACAAAGGTGTGTTGCAAGTTGTATTCTGTTTGTAAGGTTATGCTACTCACCATCTCTCTCTATAGGATGAAACCATCGTGCAATACCTTATGCGTCGATATGCTGGAGAAGATGGCTACGTGCCTATTCTTGCGAGGATATGGATCATAATGTTGATCATTACTATTGCATTTGTTAGCGTTCACACAACGTTAGTACACCCCTATAAACAATCTTCATCGTCTTCAAACGCTCAAAATATCCTAGTGTCGCCGCCATTATCTGGGTTACTTTTTACCTGGCACTCTACCCTGAGACTCAGAAACTTATCCACGGGGAAATCTCGACTATCATCTGCGAGGAGAGAAGCGCTGACGGAAGTTTCATCCTTGATTCTTCGGCTATAGCTAAAGCGGTCAAAACCGACTCTTTCATCCGTGAAGTTATGCGAATGAAAGGAGACACTATCAACGTCGCTAGATTAACCATGAAGGACGTTGAGCTTGGTGGGTATAGAATTCCAAAAGGTGCGAACCCTGTACAACCAGCAACTCTGATAGCCGGCCATAATTCTGACAAAAAGTCACCAGGCTATTTGGTATTCCCAGTCGCATACTTATCAAACAGATCGTCCGAGTGCTATTCGGACCCTAATGTGTTCAACCCTTTGCGGTGGGTTGGGACTGGCAAGTCTGCTGGCACAGCCGGCGCTGGGTATATGGCCTTTGGGCTAGGGCGTTGGTCCTGTCCCGGGAGATTCTTAGGCATAATGGGTGAGCATTCCTTTCATTAATGATGCATATGGAGTACTAGGCTAAGAACCTAACAGAAATGAAAACTTGGATCCTCGCATTGGTAAGGCATTCGCAGGTAGAACTCGAGGGTGGGAAGTTTGAAGTGTTCAATTGGTACAACATCGCGAGTGTTCCACCGCAGGGCCGTCTTTTGATCGACAAGCGCGAGTAGCTGACAGTCCCTCTTTTTCTTTTAAATGGTACAGGTTGAAGCGGGAATGTTTCTTCTCTCGATTTCCTGTACATATTTTTCCCTTTCAACCAACAAAGCTGTAAATATTCGCCTTTTCTTTGTCGTTGGGAGTTTTCCATTACCCATTGAAGTTTATTATAAAGGTCAATAATATTAGTAATAACATATCACATGACACACTTTATTTAAACCAATGACATGATGTAAAGTGGCCCACCTAAGACCCCACTTTCTGTTAAAGGCCCCACAAGCTTAAATTGCACGCGGTTCTCGCATCCAGAACTGGAGAAAATTAGCGAATAGGAGACGGAAGGGCGAGCTTGCCTCCAGAGTATATCAAAGACAACCGTCTTGTGCATCCACCACAGCTCCGGCACTGATGGAACTGCCCTTTATTCTTATCTCCTTTGTATTTCGATTATTGATGAGCTTAATCTTCTGCGGAAAGCTATTTATATGTTGGGCATTAACTCTGAATCCTCCTGAATTACCAAGCCCTTAGCCGAGCAGCGCTGGTTGAGTACTGAGAAGTTGAGATGTATATTCTGTAATTACAAGCTGCATAACCGATGGGCCCCTTTATTCTACTCAGCTGTTGGTGACAATGCCTCCTTGGTTGGCCTACATGACTTCCTTGTCACTTTATCAAGCTCCAAGTAACAGCTCCCCTGGCTCATGTGAGTTCGTACCTCACCAGTTTTCGGCCTATGGGCGGGGGAGGCGTATTCAAGGTATCTCTCTTTCATTCTGAGTAATGATCTCACAGTCTAGAAACATGAGAACTGCATGGTATATACGACTTGGTTTTCTAGTTGCCAGCCACTCCTGCAAGCCCAATAAGCCCAGCTATAGAGCCCTCTAGGATTGCAACACAACAAGGGTCTTCGGGCCCGGCATAGTGAAAATAACGGCCGTTCCTCTGTGCGGGTCTGGGAGGCAAAACGTGGCTATTGACTCATTGAAGTCGTTGTGCTTGGTTGCATAAGTGAAGATGCACTGCTAGTTGGAATTGTAATAACCTAGAATCTCTTGTGGTCTTATCCATACATGGGCTGCTTCTTGACCATGTTTCTTGAAAAGATGGATATGGTTATGCCGTCAACCATGGGTATAAGTATATATAATCATAGTTATAGTCAATTCCCTGTTGATATTAAGCCAGTAATAACGTGAAGACGAGTTGTGTCGGTTTAATATCTGGCCAGTAACGCGCGCATGCGAGGCCATGGAGGTGACTTCCACGCACTTATGCATCAGTGAGGAGGCTTAGGCAAATCCCTTAACCCCCGTATGGCTTATGGCTGGCCCTCGACATTCTAGAAGCGCATAATGAAACACAATTATCATAATACATGCACGAAGTTCAAGTTCCCTAAAGTCGCCACCGAGTTGCATTGCTTGTAGCCCGGCTTTCTTTTTCCATAGCCACTTCCTTCTTCGACGATTTTTCCGTTATCTCAACCACAAATCACGATTCACGGTCCATTGATTATTATTTGAGGGGCAATGTTTCACGCGCGGGCCACTCTGCGGCCCTGACCCCACGGTGCCGGAGCATAGATGTTCCGGCATGAGCATGGGCCTCCGCGGCCACCTGTGTCCGTCCGTCGCATATCTGGTTACCGGATGTTTCTAAGTCACAAAGCTCGAGCTTGGTTTCAAAGGTGATGCGCGGGCCTTGGACCGTAGACGAATATGCGATAAGTTGCTAGCCTATATGGAATTTGGAATACGCGGTAACTATAGACAGGACGCTGCATGACACTCGTCTCATCATGGCCCCTCTGTACTGAACCGCAGCCGTGCAGTGCAGCAGCCCTTACCTGATATGCAGTGGTAGTTCAAACCCACACCCCCATCTGAGGAATACGACTACACGGCTTTTATACAGACGAACGCGCGATGGATGCAATATATACGACACTCTTGGACGCCCCGCTGTTGAAGGTTAGCCGGCCGATTGCTGCATGCTCGAGATGCCGCTCGTCCAAGGTCAAATGTGACGGCAAGCTACCGGCGTGTTCAGCCTGTGAACGGGCTGGCAAGGCACGGAGCTGCTCTGGAGCTACGGACGAGTTTGCAAAGGGGAAAGAAAGGAGCTATGTGGCTGCTCTGGAAGCGCAGTGTGAACGTTTGAAAGGCAGACTGGCAGAGGTTAGAGGCATTCAGCTGGGAGACTCGCCAGATATGTCAGGTGCTTCTAGCACGGTATATGGCAAGGAGACATCCGATATAGATGATCTAGTTGGTGATTTCGGATTTTTGTGAGTCAATCTATCATCTGGTCCTGTGTTGGTCGGGCTTTGTCTAATGTTGAAACTAGGTCTGTGAACGCTACATCTCGAGATTTCTATGGAATTACATCTTCAACCTCCTTCGCGGGACTCCTTTTGACGGTAGCAAAGGGAGCGTCTTCGATCCCTCCATGTTCGCCGACCGAATACCCTCCCCGAGCGCAGACTGTGGGTCTTGCCCAGTACTACTTTGATAACCTCTATGTGGTAATGCCGTTTCTCATGGAGACAAAATTCTGGGCCTCTTTGGACAATATTTACCAGGATGGTGGTAGATTTGCAACAAGTTTCGACCATTGGTCCCTTCGAATGGTGCTAGCCATATCTCTGGTTATGAGATCGCGAATGCACATGGACGCGGACTGCGAGGCAGCGCTAGCGCATGTCTACGCAGCATTGAAATACGCGGAAGACGTATTGCATCCAGGCTCGTTGGCAGGCATCCAATCTATTCTGTTACTGACACAGTTCTCCATGTTTGCACCAAAGTTCTTTAAGACATGGTACTTGATAGGCATGGCGGCGCGGATAGCCACTGACCTGGGTATCCACCAAGAACAGCGGTCGGTAATTAATATGGACAGTGCGGTTTTGAGCCAGTCAAGGAAGACATTCCACTGCATTTACTCTATTGACAGGTGTGTTTCCGTTGTTACGTATATTTCGGAGTTGCCAACTAATGTAATGTAGATACGTCAGCGGGGCACTGGGGCGAGCATATTCATTCTCAGACGACTCAGTCAATGTTCCTTTCCCACCGATTACAACAGCTTTCAATATCATAAACTTAGGAGATGCGATATCACCTAAAAACATCAAAGCAGCAACACACCTGTTGGAAATACGTCAACGACAATCTGCTTTCTACCAAGACCTATATTTCAACGGGAGACAACCTCTGCCTGACGCCGAGAATGTTTCCTGGAGGCGCTGTGCTGTGTTGATGGATTGGTTTGACACTGCTCGTGCAGACCTCCCTCCTCACCTAATACCGCTATACCAACTTGAACTATTGTTTAGCTGCATCCTGGTACTCGCTCCATCCAAAAGAGCACCAGAAATAAGCAATATCAACCGGATAGTTTTATTTGAATACACAATTGACTTTCTCACGCATTTCCATGCATACATCAGCTCGTCAGCACCATGTCTGCCGGTGACATATATTGACTTTGAACGGGTGTACACCGTTTCATGCATCCTGGTGGTCACACTGGCCAACTACCATAGCGAAGTGCTAAGCGAGACCCTGCCAGAACACCTAATGCAAGCATCTTCAACCAACGACACGTTTGAAGCGCCGTTGCCACCATACATCGACCGGTCGAAGCGGGTGAACTCTACGGTGCGGGCATTGGAGGCTCTGGGCAAGACCCAGTCGATTCTTGAAGCCTCAGGTCATAGATGGGGCGTGCATGGCATGCTGAATGATTTCAAGAAGCGAGTAGAGTCCGTGACATCAATACTTACGCACAAGTATGGAGAGGGTCATATAGCTGGTACTTCACTACAGCAGCAGCAGCAACAACAACAGCAGCAGCAGCAGCAGCAGCAGTCACTATTCCAGTTGGGGCCTAATGGAGCAGTAGGGTCAAGCTGGATACCTGGCCTAAGGGGACATTTTACTGGATAAGACCCAATACCCCGCCTTGAGCAATTAAAAATGAATTTCAATGAAGGAACTGCATTAGCCAGAAACATGCATACCAAGAAAGAGAGAACCAACTACCCGTCCCTCCACAACGCAGCCAGTCTATCCTTCTCGCCGCTCTTCTTCTTCTTCCTTCGCTCTCTCATGGCAACAGCGGCATCATCGTCGTCATCACTGCCAGCCTGAGCAGCATCAGCACCAACAACATGAGCAACATCCCATCTCTCCTCGTCCGTGGAAACATTCTCCAACCCTCCAATCTCCATAAACAATGTCTCCCACTCCTCACAGCCCATCCCTATAGGGGGGACTGCATCAATCCACTCTCCCAACCCCTGCAGTTCCAGAATGCCACTTCCATCAGCGGTCGAGCTCAAGATAGCCGAACGATATATGCGGAAGAATTCCAGGAAATGTGCCCTCGTCCAGCCGGTGTATCTCCAGCGTCGGGTCCGTCTGATGAAGCGTGTGTATGGGTCAGGCAAATTGTTGTTGGCGGATAGAACGCATCGTATAGCACGCTGCGAGAGCTGACTAGGCAAGACATCCTCGCCCTTCGCGAAACGATGGAACTGGATCATGACTTTGAATTGCGGCTCTGTGAGATCTTGTGGTATGTACGGGGTATAGTACGTCGTGCAGTAAGGGTCAGGTAGCCAAGGCTGCAATCTGCGCCGTTCATTGGTGACTTTTACGCCAGCAACGACATCCTCGTCTGGTGCGACTGTGAATTCTCTGAGTGGGACTGCTGCACCCAGGGGCCCGAAGAGGCGGATCTTGGTCGAGGAGAAGACGGGGTGCGAGAGTGGGCGAACCACTGCTTGAATGGGGACTGAGGTCTCTGGACCATCGTCTATGAGGAAGTCTGGGTTGACTCGGATGATGATTCTTGACATTTTTGCCAGTATCAAGTGGGCAATGTGTGTGTGTGTGTGTGTGTGTGTGTGTGTGTGTGTCTGTTTGTATTCTAATGGAATCACGAAGGAAGAAACTGGATAGAGAACGAAGAGAACGAAGAGAAGAGGAAGAAGAGGAAGAAGGAAAAGAAGGAAAAGAACGAAGTGAGGGGGGGTTTATATAGGTGCTTCGAGCATGACGCCAGATTCCTGCCCTGCATTCCACGGCTGTCTAGTTACTCGAGTTCTATATTCACAGATGCGACGAAAGCAGTGAATGAAAGTGAATGGAGGCTATGGAAGCCATGCTATAAACATAACATACATGAACAAAGTGAAGTGAAGTGAAGGTTGAATAGGGTAAACAAAGGGGGAAGGAAGTAACTAAGCGCCGGCTATTAACTTCGCCTTTGAGCCGCATATACCTAACTCGTGACTTGCCTTAGGGCCGACAGCCGACTTCCGCTCTGCCGCCGTGCGACGTTGAGGCTTGGAAGTAACACACCCTATCACACTGCATAGATATACCAGTAGAGAGAGCGAGAGAGAGAGTTAAAAGTATGTATAGAAATAAGCATAATTTAAAGTCAACGTCATCGGCAAAGTGATAGCCGAGGTGGGTCAAAGAGGCTCGTAACTTGCTGTACGGAGTACTCCGTGTATATATATATATATGTAGTGCAGTCGGACTTCCTCCATCACCATCCATTAACATCACCACTATCACACTATTTACCAATAAACTACTCTCTCCCAAGCAAACTTGCCTCACCATGCCTAAACGCATCATCATCGACACCGACCCGGTAAGCAGTTCAGTTAATATATACATATAACCACTTACTGATAACAACCAGGGCGTCGATGACATCTTGGCGCTGCTCCTTGCCTTCTCCGCCTCCTCGGCCGAGCTAGAAGTACTGCTGGTCTCGCTAACGTTCGGCAACATCGAGATCAAGAAGTGTCTTCACAACGCGGTGTCTCTGTTCCACGTTATCGAGAAGGAGCTGGCTCATCGCGGGGAGGCGGGGGAGCACACTTTCTCTGCGCTCAAGGCATGCCGGCCTATTCTTGCGTGTGGTGCAGAGGGACCACTGGACGGCAGCAAGGTCGATGCAGGCTACTTCCATGGCCATGACGGGCTGGGGAACGTCCACACAAAGGTATGCTACTGCATCACTCAACCAACATTAACTCCTTTTATGCCTGCCTGTATTTGATACTAACTGACGGTGATAGTGCCCCCATCTCTCTGCCGACGACACCTACCAGGCTCTGTTCTCGGGCCAAGAGGCAGCAGATGAAGAGAAGGAGAAGCTGTTTATACCTTCCCGCCAGCCGTCTCACCTCGAGATGCTACGTCTACTGCGCGAGAACGAAGAAGACAGCATCACCATCGTTGCCGTGGGACCGCTGACGAACCTCGCCCTGGCCGCTGCCGAGGACCTGCCTACCTTCCTTCGAGCCAAGGAGGTAGTCATCATGGGCGGAGCTATCGACGAACCTGGAAACGTACCTCCCCTCCCCTTCTCCATTCCCTATTAGTAGTTACGGCTATGTACTTGGTACTAACAAGAGGGAACAGGTAACGCCCTTTGCGGAGTTCAATGTCTTCGCCGACCCGCTTGCAGCAGCCCAGCTGTTCGCACTGACATCGCTGAACCCACGACGCACCTGGCCGACGTCTTCACCGATGCCCTGCCCAACGCTTCCAGGCAAGAAGAGGCTTACGCTGAAGATGGCACCGCTAGACCTGACGCACGCTCATAACTTCACGCCCACCGCCTTCCGCGAGGCCATCACCGCCCACCTGCAGCGCAACTCTCCGCTGGCAGAACTCATCTCTACCGTGGTCGAGCACACCTTCAGCACCATCAGCGGCCTCAAGCTGGCCAGACGCGAGGCTACGACGGCAGAGGAGGAGATGAGCCTGCACGACCCCGTGTGCGTGTGGTACGTGCTTACCAGCGACGAAGGGTGGACCTGGCGCGAGAGAGACGTGCGAGTCGAGACTGTGGCCCAGTGGACGCGGGGCGCTACGGTGGTGGACAGGCGGATCGTGGGGCGGATAGACACCGACGTGGTGGACAAGGTGGTGGTGGAGGAAGACGATGCGGGAGTAGAGGTCGAGGTCGAGGTCGAGGCGGAGGAGCGCGAGGACGACCGCGGCGGCTGGCGGGCGGGCGGCAACCGGGTGGGCGTGCTGGAGCGCGGGCCTGGCAGCTTACTAAGCGAGGAGATCCTCCAGCGGGTTTTCGCGTAGAAGAAGCAAAGTAGAAGCAGAAGAAGTAGAAGAGTGAGGGACGAGGGGTGAGATGACTAAGCACGAACCTTGGCAGCAAGCAAGCTCTTCCTCCTCTTGCTCTTTCGGGCTTCTGCTCCTCCTCCCCCTCACCTTGTCCCTATCTTCCATCTTCCTCCTCCTATCTTCTCCTTGTCCACCAACATCTGCTTCTTCTGCTGCTTCTGCTGCTTCTCTCCGGCTTCTCCCGCGCTTCCGTCTCCGCCCTCCCTGACTAAGCAGCCCACGTGCCCACCTCCACCATCCTCCACCCATCTTCCCCGCTGACTCAGCCACCTTAACCTTAGCCTCTGCGCTCGCCGTCCCGCAGCCAATCAGCGTCCTCCCCGCGTCCATGTGCCTGGCCCTGCCCCAGGCGCCCTGCCAGCCAACCGTTGGCAGCACGCGACCACCAGGAGCGCTCGAGTCGGCGCAGGTAGAAGAAGCAGACGCCGCCTCCTCTTTTCTCGTCTTTCTCTTCTTCTTTCTACTTCTCTTCTTATCATCGCCATCTCCATCGCCATCACCACTTCTGCCACTGCTGCTTCTATCACTACTACGACTTCTGCCACTTCTGTCGCTTCTGCCGCTATCGCCGAGCACTGCCATGCCGAAGCCGCGTCTACCGCTAACTCCGGCCTCGTCGACCGACATCGCCGCCATGGACAAGATGGACAAGGCCGCAGACGACCTCTACTTCGCTCTCCCGCCCGCCGCCATCCAGCACCACCACCACCAACCACCACCACAGCAGCAGCAGCAGCAGCAGCAACAGCAACAGTCACAGCAGCAGCCACAGCCAGAGACGAGGCGCTCGAAGAGACAGCCAGAGTTCAGTCTGCCGCCGCCGCCCACGCGCACTCGCAAGATCATCCAGGTCAAGCCCAAGCGAGACGAAGAAGCCGACCAGCCAGATGCCGCCGCCCCGGCAGCCACCACCAAGAAGAAGCCCAGCGCAGCCACCGCGGCCGGACGCAAGATAGCCCGGCGCACTGCTCACAGCCTCATCGAGCGTCGGCGCCGGTCCAAGATGAACCAGGAGTTTGCCACGCTCAAGGACATGATTCCCGCCTGCAGAGGACACGAGATGCACAAGCTCGCCATTCTCCAGGTTAGTCATCCTCTCTCTCTTTTGCTCTTTATATATGTATGTATACTAACTTCCACCAGGCAAGCATTGAGTATGTAAACTACCTGGAGAGCTGCGTCAGAGACCTCAAGGCCGCCAGACGAGACGACACGCCCACCTCGCCGTGCTGGCAGCCCTCGTCAAACATCCAGATGGACTCGGCAAGCTCATACTCGGTCTCGCCGGACATCCACCCGTCAACAGCAAACACCTCCACCATGCCATCTCCAGCCCAGAGTCAGGGCCAGCAGACCTCGTCCGGATTCGACATCATACCCATGGTCCTGCCTTCGCCTGCTCTCAGACCAACGACAACTTCCACCACCACATCCTCTGCCTCCAGGACATACAGCATGTCCACCACAGCCACCACCTCCACCAACACATCGCCCTTACTCCCACCCATGGCCGGAGACGATGTTGCCGTCCAGGAAGACGATGTCGACATGGACAGAGAGGCCACTGCTGCCCTTCTCATGCTCACCACCGACAGAAGACACTCCTCGACCTCAGCCACCACTGCCTCGGCCACTACTTCACCCACCATATGGCCTCACTCACATACACAACATACACATGTCAGGCGCAAGCTCGGCATGAGTGTACATGACCTCCTCACCCACTAATTAATCTTTCACTTCTTGTCGTTACTTCTTCTTCTTGTCATTATTCGTCATGTTTAATGTTGGCGTATAAAAGTTGGCTCTCTGCTTTACCCTTCTTGTTCCAAGTAGTTATCCTAGACGTACACACTTAACAATACACTACTTATTCACCCAGCTACTTACCACCTTCAACCACGCACCTCCTCTCATAATCATCAACACTCACTTCCATATCTTCCCCAAACCCAACCAAATTCCCCCCTTCACCTTCTCCCACCTGCTGCTGCTGTACTTCTACCAGCCCAGCATCAACCTCAACCACAGCCTCAAAGCCCCCGTCCCGCTCCCACACCTCAACCGTCTCCCACACCCACCTCACCATCCCATCCCTCCTCTCAACCACCACCCTAAGCTCCGCCACTGCCTCTCCAAGCTCCTGCTCCCGCCTACCCACCACCCCACTCTCGCGTCGTTGCCAGTGCTCGCATTCAGCATGCGTCGTCTGGCCCCGCCAGCATCATGTTGACCCTGCAGGTTCCGCTCGGTCAGTGGGGAGAGCTCGTCCGCTGGGCCCGTCACGGTAGACTGGTTCGCTGAACACAGAAGTGAGATCGAACGTCATGAATTCTTCGTCGGGGTCGAGGAATTCTCCCCGCGCGAGACGGGCGGCTTGCTGCACTGAAATCGCCTCTGATACCCCCCGGCTGACGGGGTAGAAGCCCTGAGGCCGATAGTGGGGGTGGTACCCTGGTATGGCTGGGGATTGAGTCAGTGGTGGGTATGTAGGCTCTGGCAGTTGTTGTTGCTGCAGCTGTTGTTGCTGTTGTTGCTGTTGTAGTACTTGTTGCTGTTGTTGCTGCTGTTGGTGTTGTTGTTGCTGTAGCTGTTGCTGCTGTTGTAGTTCTTGTTGCTGTTGTAGTTCCTGTTGGTGTTGTTGTTGCAGCAGCTGTTGCTGCTGTTGTAGTTCTTGTTGGTGTAGTTGTTGCTGCTCCATTTCCAGTTGTGTTGGCCAGCCGCCTTCTCCTTGGGCAGCTCTCTGTGCGTCTGCGCGTTGCTGTTGCTGTCTCGTTATGTATTCTGCGTTGATCTCATCGAGCTGCGCCCATATTGCCCGGTACCTCGCCTGCTCATCCTCGAATCTCTGATACCCGTCGTCGATTTCATTTCTTACTTCATTGCTGTTCTCAATGCCGTCCCCATTCGTATACCCGTTATTGTTTTCGTTTCCACCCCTACCCTCATCCTCAACACCATACATATGCTCACTCTCAGTCACTGCTCCCTCCTCATAGTCATCGTGATCAACTTCAGGAGTATCCCTAATTAACTCCTGTTGGACCTCGGGCGGTATCACAAGCGGTGATAGCCGCCTCCTGTAACTAACCGCTGACAACGACTGTGTCGGCGTAGACCGCATTTGGTTCGTTACTGAAAGCTGCCGCGGCCGCAGCAGTCCTATCCCTTGCCCTTGTTCGTAATATTCAAGCGGCTCATGTATCGCCTGGCGCAGCCTCATCTCAACAGCTTCCTGCTCTCTTTGCATTACATAGTTCCGCTCCCGCAACGCCTGCATGCCCCGTGCATGTCTCTCTTGCAGAGCTGACCTCTCCGCTTGGCCTTCATCATAAATTGGGATTTCGCTCTCGCGCAATATTCGCTGCACCCCGTTTAGACGTTGCTGCGGTTCACTTTCCTGCAGTCGACTTTCCTGCTCACTAGTCACCGCCCGCTGCAGCATCAGATCTCCCTGCGCTGCTTGGTGTAACGCATGTTGCCGGTGAAGTAGCTGTTGCTGCTGCTGCTGAAGCATTGTTTGTACCTCCCGCGAGTGCGCTATATGTGGCTGTATCGCAGGAGACGGCAGGTACCGTAGATGCGTTAGTTGTGGCGGTATCGTTTCCACCGGCGCGGGAACTGGTCCTGGCACCGGTGCTTCTGGTAGACTTCCTCGCTGTGCCAGTACATTCGAGAGTTCCTGCTGAACTACCTGCTCATGTATCAGTTGCTCGCCAACCCGTGCCTGAGGTCCTCCGGGTGTAGCTACCCGTGCCTCCATTTCAGCTAGGGCTTCGGCTCTGGCTTCGAGTTCGCCAACGGGTTGTACCAACAAAGAATCAGGATCCAGCTCCCCCAGTGGACGTCGTCCCGGCCTTTGGCTCTCTCTCGATCTTCCCCCTCGTCCTCGACCTCGACCTCGACCTCGTCCTCGCCCTACCCCCGTTCCTCGTGCCCGTATCACTTCGGGCCGCTGATCTACTGTTTCTCCCCGTCCGGCTCCTGATCCTGACCCTGACGCTCGCCGCCGTCCCCTGCTTGTAGATGCCCGTGACCGTGCTCGTCCTATTCTTCTTCCTCGCCCTCGTCCAGATTCGCCTGCCACCCTTGATTCATCTGTAGCCTGTTGTGTATCTGTCTGTGTCCCAGTCAAGTCTGTTTGCTCGATCTGCCCCAAATGAACTGGTGGTTCAGTCCGCTCCACTTGTTGAGTCTGCTCAGCCTGCTGGCCTTCTCCTTCTGCTCTATGCTCTTCTCCCCCATGTACCACTTGATCCGGCTGAACTGGGCGTTGCGTTGCTAGATCCGTTGGCTCTTCCCGCACTTGCTCGGCGTGCTCTGGCTGTGCTGCCTCAACTTGAAACTGCACTGGAATGAATGGATGCGGCGAACGTGGTACATCCTCATGTTGCCTCGTTGCGGGAAAGTTAGCATCCCATGGATTTGCCCGAGACTCTGCATCCCATCCCGAATCTTGTGCCTCGCTCAACTGGCGTTTTTGTCCAGAATTAGCCTTTGGTCCCATCTTGCGCTCGTTGTCGTATGGCCTTCAACCTCTTCCTCCTTAAATGTTCCCTCTTGAACACCTTTAGGTATAACTGCGTCTGGCGCATAATCGACTTCCCCCAAAACTGAGAAACCATCTTATATTCGCCTCTATGCGTCTGTACTGTAGAAGTTGCGACTGGATCAACTTCGTATACAAAAAGGAAAGTATGATGGGCCCTGCCAAGACGGGAGATGCTCCCGCCAAAAAAGCTTGGCATTTTTGTTTTGACTTGGTGGCTGAGACCTCAAGTTCAACGTCTTCTCGTGCCAAAGACATACTCCAGCATTGCTCTTCGGAAGGAGAATCGGTTAGCAGCCATAGTACTATGCATGGCAGTAACTAGTTATTGCTCGGGTATTGTTGGACTACAAGTAGGAGATAAATTAGTAATGTTCTCATGCCACAGCTGGTATTGCAGTCACCTATTTCGCTATCTTTAAAGACAGTATGTTTAACCGTTTGGTAGCTCAAGAGAGTTGCCTTGATCTAAATAGGATGGGGACATGATTGTAGTGTTAAAATATGAAGTTATCATTGTGGTATCGAAGTCAACTCTAACAGGCCCACATAAAGCAATTTCAGTACGGAGTAGTAGGAAAATGACACCCGGTCCGTCCCACAGTACATCAATCATGCTGATTTCGGCAGATGTCGCATAATCATCGTGGCAGGCTGTAAATTGGCCTCTGCATAATTTACCTGAGTCTGTAAAGAGTAGACTTGGTTGTGCCGATGTCCACGTATTATGGTTACTGTTATGATCAAACCGCACCTTTCCTGCAAAAGTAAGATTCTGATTAGTCATTTAAAGGCTAAGTGTCACGTGTGAATTTCACGTGACACGGACGGGTATTAACATAAAGCCGGAAGTCAATAGGAGAGCTTAACCAGAGCGCAAATTTATTAACTCCACCACAACGCAACAAGGTGAAACTTGGGCGACAATCTCGCAGCATCACAGGCATTTTTCCCATTATTGTAACCCTTTACCCTTATACAGAAAGCACCATTACCCCCTGTCTGATTTTCATTTGCTGATCTCATTGAAGTTATGACAACCTATACCAAGCAATTGCCGAGTTGTCAAGCCAGGGGAGTGGAACCTCGGTTAGTGGATCATACCATTCATTGCTTATCCAAGGATACCCTTTTTGGGGAGTAAACACCAACTCTAGTAGCCTATGCACAGATACTTTGGGAATTACATAAATCAAGCTTCGCCTCTGCAGCAGTCCTGCCTGGCAGCCCCAACCAAAAGGCCGGCTTTTCGCCCAACGTGTTCGCCAGCATCCAGTGCGTAGTACCAGCATGCTGCATTTAAAATTATCGAGATATCACCTCCATAGCCACTACCCTAGCCCATATTACGTGGAGGATTCTACTATGGTTGTAGTGGAGCGGGAGTGGAGAGCCACAGGAGAATCTCCGTTGGACTGCAGTGCTTGTTCGAAGTCGCACGTTTTGACGACTTCCCTAGAGCACACCACTTCAATGCGTTGTGGTTGGCTGATGAGCCCATGCAGGCATTCTCGTACACCCATACGCATGCCACACATAAAGAAAAAAGTTCGGCCTAACGGGCCGGACATGATCCTGCCTTATATCCGATATGCGGAGTATAAAACTTATATTACTGGTTCTAAGTAGGCGAGGAATCTCGACTTCTTATATATCGCATCTTGGCTTGGTGCACCCTTCATTGGACGGTAGCCGAGGAGGAAGAGAAACTGAAGGAAGATAAAACTTAATACTCGCTGAAAACAAGAGCTGACAGTTCTAGGCCTATATCCAGTGAATGGATACATGCAGCGGGCGACCAGGGAAGTCAGCCGTGTGCCACCGTCCTTGAGTGAAAATTGTGGACTCTGAGGCAAGGGGAATAACCAAGCTTAGGTTGCTCGCTGACTCGCAATCCGAAACTACACCCGACCGTATGCTCTTGGATTAAGCAATGCTTAATTCAAGTGGGACTCAAGTATAAGCTGCGTTTTCCTGTCAATTGATCTCCAGGCTGATCAATTGTCTCGAAATAGTGCTATGCAGATGACACCATGATCTTCCCGCCATTCCTCACTCTATTTTACCTCCCTTGACCCAGAACTCGAGAGATATACATACATGCATACCTGCTGCCTTTAACATGGATGAAATAGAGACATGACAAAACAACAGACAACGATAAGAGGGCTGATCTATGGATGCCTCTTGTCGTAATCTGATTGATAAGCTTTGGATAACCAACTTTAACAACACCAAGCAGGAGTAGCGATACCCCGAAATTGCCGGTCAGCTCTAGGGATCGCCAGCTACTTTCGGCCGTCTTTAGCAGAGGGGGGGTTGCATTAGGATGACTGGGAGGTGAAGTAGGAGGAGTGGCGGGGAGGATTAGGAATGGCTAGTTATCTGTCGTATACTGCATACGCGGGATGTTTTCCCTATGTACGATGATACATACATGGCCAAGGTATATAAGTGCCCTTCGACATCATCATGAAGGATGGGAAACAAGTCACTCCCTCTATCTCCATCATAAACCACCAACATCGGAGCATCCATACCAAGCTGAATACTGGCATTTATTGATCCTCACGTATTTTTCATCTCAATATGCCTTTCATCCTTGAGTCTGCATCCCCCAGCCCAAATATCCAGTCTTCAGCCGTGGCAAAAGACTGTAAACCCTTACTTCCTGCCGTGGTTGTTCTCAACAGGCGATACCTGATCACCGGCAATAGCGCCGCTGCCAAGGTCGGAGCGGCTGCATTCGCTGCTTCAGTCGTTCAGGCGTTCGTGGAAAAAGGTATCTTCTTGGGAATAATCCTGTACCACAGGGACGAGGATATTGTGGATCCTTACATCTCTAGCGAGGCTTTCAACTCAATCTCTACGGTGACCGTATCCTTTAACTTCCAGATGGATCCAGGCAAGGTCGCAAATGCCCTTCTCAGCTGTATCAGAATCCTCAAGGCTGCCAACCCAATGGAGGGAACTCCCATGCTATACTACCAGACCGATACTCTGATGGAGTACCACCCTCATCATATCCCTTTATGTGTCACACACCATGGCCCCTTTTTCGGAAGTTTTGCGTCTGTCTTCTCCAAGGAAGCTGCCGCCCTGGCTTTTGGAAGCATGGAAAAGGCAGAGCACCTAGAAAGGCAACAAAACAAGGGAATTGAAATAATCAAGAGCCGAGAAAACGCATTCGTCCTTCAGCACTCGCAGCTTCAAGGAAATTTCCTTGCCTCTAGGGGCGTCACCGCTTTGCGCGAGCTTTGCCCGCCGATCGAGCTTCTGACTGAAACTGAAGAAACGAAAGACGAGCTCCCCGAATACATCAAAGAATGGTTTAACTTTGACGGGGTAGTGATGTTTACGGCAGTTGCCCGCCTCGATTACTTTAAGAACATAGATCTGCTCGTTGACGCGGCAATTCTCCTTTGCATTCAGGGTGTCCCTCTCAGGGTCTTCGTGGCAGGGGGGGAGCAGCCAGATAGCAAGGAGCACAGGGCACTCATGGACAAGGTCCCACCCCAGTACCAGCACCTGTTCCTGCTAATTCCCAAGGTCTCGAGATCTGCCTTGTACAGTCTATTCGCCGTTGCACGACACACCGGAATCTTCATCTGTCCATCCCGATACGAGACTCTTGGTATCACCCCATTGGAGGCGGCTCTCAACGGTGTCACTACCGTTATCTCAAACTCCACTGTTGTTGAAGCATCTCGGTTTTATCCAGAGGAATTTCGATTCAGCCCAAACCCAGAAGACCTCTCAGAATTAATTGCTCGGCTTTCTGGGCCACGAGCCATGTTGGCTGCTTCCGGTGACCTGATCCGGCTTCACGTTGGAAAGTCTATCCAGGGCAGCAAATTCCGTTCTGACCTTCTCGACGCGTGGTCGGATTTCTCGGTGCAGTACATGACCACATTAGTCAACTATTTACCAGCGGTGCAGCCGCCACTCTTTTTGGAGACGGCTCCACAGGAGCTTGGGAACGGCATGAAGGAGCAGATGCGAGTGGTTGCATGAGAAGGGAAGACAGGGTCCAGAGCGCTGCAGAAGAGTTGAAGGAGGATATATTTTAGATCGCAGCGGATATACATTGATGGTTTCTTTTTTCTTTTTTCCTTTTTTTTCCTTATTCCTTTTCTGGGCCTTATTTTAGTTTATCTTCCTTGCCTTCTACTTTCTTTCTCCCTGTCATAGCTTCCGAGAAGCACACATCCTACCTTGATAGACCTTTTTTTCTTGTTTTTAGAATGTTTGATACAAATCCTCCTTTTTTCATGAATTTTTATACTGTTGCATCTGTGGTTCTTTCGGGACGACGTCGGCTTAAGGTTATCACGTGAAACCCCACTTTTTGGCCAAAGTTGCCTCTTTGGTCTTCTTCCCTGTCCGTAGTACTTCTGCAACATCTATCACAAAAAAAGCGATGACGACGAGACGTCCGAGACCACGACAGGCTCTTCTAACGGATCTACTGTGGCTGGCAGCGAGCTCGAGTCATGCTGCGGGTTCGGCAACTACCATGATCTTAACCGAACTCTATACATAGTATGGATTTTCGCCCAGGGTTGCTACCCCGAACCCGGTCAGTGTTTATTTTATGTATGTAATATTACATGGCGAGCGGACGGCTGCTGATACTTTGACGGACACATAGTTACTGAGTTTAACCCTTTCTAGTGGGCCGCAAGGGAATGCGGGCCCTTCCTCGCTTCCGCACCAGGAACGGATGTCCTTTGCGAACCCGCGCCCCACGTCATGAGCATCAACCCTCTGGTCAGGGCGAGAAAGAAGGTCTGACCAGGGAGAGTGACGGTTTCCTGCATCCCCGAAGTATCCCTGCCTGGCTTCTCTCGATGTACAGCAACGCCAGATTGGGCCACAAACAGAGGATCAGCCTTGCGCTTGGCGATCCTCTTATCTCGACTCCGATTTTTCGACTCCATCCGCCCACCTGGTATTCTATTCGGTATTTGGCCTCCAAGCCAGACTGCCGACGCCTACCTATAGCGAATTACGGACGCAGCCATCTGTTTTAGCTTGATAATTACCCTCCCGCTTTGCTCCTACGGACACGGAATCAACCGAAAATACTCCAGGTGGGAGACATACGTCGTACGTGGCCCTGTCCCTCGCCCACAGTATATAAGTTCTGGGCTTGATGACTGGAGAGAACATGATATCGCAACACAGTCTCATTTGACCATCTGGATAGGCTCTATCTCGATTCTTTTGCCCGCCTCTGCTCTGCTCATAACTACATCCTCTGAATCGACCAAGAAAAAAAATCATAAAGAAACTGCAAAAAGAATGACGCAAGCGCAGGAGAGCCTTGCGCGCTTCCAAGCTCGCCGCGAAGAGGCACTCTCCAAGGTGGACGTTGATCTATCCCGAATCCCAGAGAAGTTTTCCGGAAACGTGACAGACATACCAAGACAGTGTCTCTCGCAGGAAGACATTGGCATTACTGAATCATCTGCTCAGTCACTGCTAGCTTCTCTCGCACAGGGAGCCATCACCGCAACCGCAGTCACCAAGGCTTTCCTCCGCCGAGCAGTTGTTGCACAGAAGCTAGTGAGTTAGAGCAATCGGTTATCTAGGGGTGTAGAAGAAATCAACCCAAACAAGAACTATCCTGACTTATATTACCTAGGTCAACTGTGTTCATGAGCTACTGCCAGAGCGAGCGCTTGCACGGGCGAAGGAGCTGGACGAGTATTTTGCGAAGCACAAGAAACCGATCGGACCCCTCCATGGCCTTCCTGTCAGTGTCAAGGCTCATATGGGTGTCAAGGGATGCGATACCAGCTCCGGCTTCGTTGCCTGGACAGGACGCGAATCGCCCGATGACGCCGAGCTCCTCAAGATTCTGATTGCAGCCGGAGCAGTCGAATACGTGAGAACAACGGAACCACAGGCACTGGTGAGTGCATAGTCCTAATGGCCCCACATCATTGTATTTGCCAATATCAACGATCTAATCTTGCGTCTTGTCATTAGTTGATGCTGGAGACGATAAGCAATGTCACGGGCGAAACTGTGAACCCCCACAACACTGCTCTTACCCCCGGTGGTTCGTCCGGTGGTGAATCAGCTCTCCAAGCACTTTACGGCAGCCCACTTGGTATTGGTACAGACATGGGTAAGGCTACTTTTTGTGAAAGATCTAAACCTGCTCTGCCCTTGGCAATGGACTGTTTTTAGCGCTCACATCTATGCGCTCAATAGGAGGAAGCATCCGCTCCCCGGCTTCAAACTGTGGCTTATACGGGTTCAAACCCACTACGCATCGCATCCCTCTTACCGGGTGGACCGCCTACAACATTGGCGTCGAGACAATCTGGGGAAGTGCTGGCCCACTATGTCCAACTTTCGAAGGCATCGATCTCATGATGAAAGTCATCCTTGACGCTGAGCCTTGGCGCAAAGACCCAAGCCTGCACCAGGTACGCTGGCGTGAACAGCCCCAGTGTATCACCCCGAAAGGAGAAAAGAAGTTCAGAGTCGGCGTTATGTGGGACGACGGTATTGTAAAGCCACTCCCACCGGTAACTAGAGCCCTGCATGAAGTTGTGGCGAAGCTTAAGTTAGTCCCCGGTGTCGAGGTGGTTGAATGGAAACCATTCCACCACGATGAGGCAATGGAGATCCTGGTAAGTAGCCTATTCAAAACTCATGCATCCCAACGTCCAATTCCGGGGACACTAACCATATTTCGAATTACCCCAACCTATAGGCAGGCCTTTACTCTCCCGATGGTGGTAAATCATACGAAGCTCTTCTCCAGGAAGGTGGAGAGTCTGCCCTCCAGCTTGCAAATTGGGTTGCAAAGGAGAGCCCTGCCGTTAAAGCCCACGATCTCCCTGCTCTTTGGAACCTATTGAAGAAACGCGAGGCATACCGTTTCAATTACTTGGCTGGTATGTCCCCATACAAACTACATACCCGAACATTATCCCGATCTGATTCCTCATCTTATCCTTACTCTCCCCCTGCATATCTTGATATCAAACTAACCTATGACCAACCCCATCCGAACATATGTATAGAATGGAACAAGCTTGAACCAGACATGGACGTGATTCTATGCCCCGCCCACCCCAATGTTGCGCCGGTTCTCTCCACTTCCCGATACTGGGGCTACACATCTATCTGGAATATCCTCGATTACCCAGCAATTGTATTCCCAGTTACCAGGATCAATGCACAACTTGACCCCAAGGAAACGGGATATACGCCTAGAAATGATGACGACGCTCTGTATCAGGATAACTATGATCCTGTGGTTCAGGCCTCGGCACCTGTATGCCTTCAGTTAGTTGGCAAGAAGATGCAGGACGAGATGGTTGTGCAGGCAATGAAGGAAATCAAGGAGGCTGTTGGTTTGCCGTTTGTCAACTGCCTGAATGGATGATTTTATTCATTTTTTCAATGTCTACTGATTAACTGTGTCTCGGGTTATCTCTCTCCGAGGTTGTACAAGGAGACTTACTGTTTACATTTTACTTGCCCGGGGGATGGTATATTCTCTCGTGGTTATAGTCCTTGAACGACTAAATATTATGCAATGAACGATTAACTCTATCAATCCTATTTTCTGAGGTCACCCCCTTTTCCCATATGAATACCATACTACAAAAACAGACGAAACTAAAAATACCTGTCTTTTCCCTCATAACCTTCACCCATCTATTGCGCAGTATGAGGGCGGTGAATGTCCATATCGACGCTGGGGCGTTGCGGTTCATTGGCGGTATTTGAAATAGCCTGCACGCTTGAGCTTCGTGCCCGTGGCATCGCCTCTTTCCCAGGCACGTCTAAGCTAGAATCACAGCTCTTCCTTAGCTTCAGCCCGGCCTGCCTCTCACAAGTTTGGGCACCAGATACTTGAAAAGGATGTTGTTGGTGATTTGAATTGACCTGGTTCAGGAGTGTTGTTGGAGACAACGTATTGGCGGTGAAAGTGCCAAATGCTGGATGCTCCTCTACATCGGCTCGTGTCTGTGGGCCGCGAACGCATGCAGCTATCCCCCTGAGCCATGATACAACCCGTCTAGAGTTGGGCTTAACCGGTGGCAGATTAACGAGCGTCGAGGCTGGATCTACAAACCGTTTTGTCGGAAGGACCTCAGACCCTGCGTTCCGCGACCTTTGTGCTTTTTCCCTTAGCCTGCGGAGTATAGCCAATGTGAATCCAGCGAGAGAAATAGAGATGAGTATCGCGAAGAGGATATAGAAGATGTTCCACTCCCTCTTGGACTTATCAGCGCAATACTCGCCAATCAGCCGCTCGTCTCTACGGGGGAAGCACATCCTGCACATTTGGGCCAGCGTGGGCGTCAGCCTCATGCCCGGCCTGGTCTCACAAGTCGCAGCAAGGTCGCCGGACGGGCATGCGAGCTCACGACAGGACAGCGGTCGAGTGGCGGTCTGAGCCGGCCGAATTTTGCCTGTGACGGTCGCCTGAAGCCTTCCGGTCTGGCGAGGGTCCCTATTGTCTCCCGGCTTGACAAGATTGAACCGGGATTTTTGGTCCTCATCATCGTCTCTGCGCTCATTCTGGCTCGCTACTGGCTTGCTGTTCGAGCGGGTTGACTGTCTGTACCACCGTATGAGGGTGAAGATGGCCTGTCTGCAGGATCTCATCTTCGACCCACTCACTTGAACGAGATCATTCGGTGATTTTTCGGTCGAATAGGGAACAAGATCATCCACGCACGTCTCAAGATCTGCCAGCAGTCGCTCAAGGGTGACTCCATTCAGTGTAATGGTCTCTGCTGCTCTCTTTTTGTCGGTGATGGCTGGCAACTGAACCGGGGGAGCACCTTGTGTGATAGCATCTCCAGACGCAGGTCCGCCAGCAGCCAAATCCCTGAGACTTGTATGCACATCGAGATATCCTCCAGTAATTGACCATGCCGCTACATGGACCATGCAGTATATCAAGCACACCAGACGCTGGATCGAATACCACCACATCTTGCCGTCTTCCAGCCACGACGTCTAGGATGCGATGCCATGTTTTTCTTCCTCTCTCCGGCCGCATCTTCCATTTGTTGTCGTTAAATACAACATCTCGCTAGTTGTGCTCGATGTTGCTGAAGGCGCGACTCTGCAGTCATGCCTCCCTCAAGCACGGCTCGGCCTAGAATCAATATCAGCGGCTATTAAGCGAAACAAACAGCAAGGATGAGGCCAAAACTCCACGTGTATGGAGTCGAGCAGACTAAGTAGCTAAAATATGTTTATTTTATGTCCATTCATCCCGTCCATCTCCCGCGTGTAATGTAGCTGGTGGGCTCCCTTAATCCTCCATTTCGATAGGGGGTTGGAAAAGGAGAGCCCGTCCGGCCCCTCGGAGAAGGCAGATACGAGCCCGTCCGCCGGGCCTCAGGGTGAAACGGCCCCTGTCGCGCATTTCAGACGCGCAAGCAGTCGTGGTTCGTCTTGCTTCTCGTCCGCTAGATAGAGCCGTAATACATACATGTTTACGCCTCGATGCGATGAGTATCAGATTGTCGATCCCGTAGCTGTATTATCGCGTGCTGTACTCTGTAGACGGCGGTCGTAGATAGTAGTTAAACTGGCCAACACCACAATGGAAGCTGAGTAAAACTCCGTATAACAAGCACCCAAGAAGACCAAGGATGCGAATATGCAGGCCGATATTGAATAAGGAGACAGAAACCTGGCCAGCCTGTCCTTTCTTTCCACCCGAGATCGCACATAATAAAAGCTGCCGGCGCTGGTCCTGCTCCTGTTGCTTCTTGCTGTCGCCGTCTTCATCGTTTCACCTTGACAAAGCCGGCCGCGTCCAGAGCCCCTTGTGCGCTCGTCCCAGCTGTTTCACTTCATCTCAGATCTTGCTGAACGGCCTCGCTGCGTGTCGCCGGCGGCTCATCGTCCTAGCCTTTTCGCTGCTGTCGTTGCTGGTTGCTGGTTGCTGGTAGCTTTTTTGTGGTCAAACTGAAGTTCCGCCTCTTCCATCACCCACCACAATCATCATCATCATCATCATCTTACGCCATCGACTACACTCAACATATAACGTACGACAGCCGCAACAGAGAGACAAGGAGAACAGACGGACAAACGACCAGAAGAACGCCCACGACGTCGCCACTTACAAAGAGATGGTTGTCTTTGTGGTGAGTACCAAGAGCCCCAGCCCGGTGTGATCCTTGCTGTGCGCCCCGTCTGACCTTTGTGCTCGCAGAACAAGCCACCTTCGCATCCTCCCTTCTGAAGACCGGCCATCGACCACTTACCTACTACTCCATCCCGAGCGTCTCTGTCTGCTCATCTCACGGAGTACTTCTGTCTGCTCCAGCTCGTCTAGCAGACGCTCAACTGCTCGACTCGACAGCCCGGCAGCGCCCCCCCTGAACTGCCTGGTGTTCGTTCGTCACTCACTCCTGACCGCTCGGCGTTTGCGTCGAACCACCCGGGACAATCAACCGCAACAACCTCGATACTTACCTACCTACCTATCTGCCTGTTATACTCGATCGCCGCGCAAACATGAATCCATATATGAGCTGGGCCATCCTGCTCCTTACTGCAGGTGGACTGGGCTACTACTACAAGAATGGCTCAACCCCCAAGTCACGGCCTGCCTTCCTAAAGCCGACTGAGAGGCAAGAGAGCACGCCGGCAGGGAGCAAGAAGGAAAAGGCTAAGCAGCGCAACAAGCAACGCAAGAGCCCGCAGCCGGAAAGCAACAGCAGCAGAAACAACTCCAGCGAGGCTAGCAATGGAGTCAACACACCAGCAGCGGTTCCAGAAACCAAAACGGTGCAGCGAGCTGCCGTCAAAGCCGAGGAGCCGGTATCGACCGGCATTGGAGGCATGGACGACAACTACGAATTTGCCAAACAGTTCTCCAAAGCAAGAAACGGCACTCCTCTGGCTGCTAAGGCGAAGCCTGGTGCCGGTACGAAAATAAAGAAGCAGCAGCAGGCTAAGCAGCAGAAGCCTCAGCAACAAGAACAGCAAGCACTGACTAACGGAGACTCCCACGCCAACCACGTCTCTACCGCTGCTTCATCTACCACTGGCGCAGATGCAGACGACGACATGTCACCGATCAACTCTCCCCGCGTCAAGCCTGCCGGCGATGTCACCGACATGCTCGAGGAGCCTGCTCCCGCCGCATCCGTCCTCCGCCTGACCGGTGACCTGGAAGATGCCCAGAACGGCAAGAAGAAGAAACAGCAAAACTCCTTCAAGTCTGTAGAGACTAAGAAGCAGCGCCAGGCCCGCCGTAAGCGCGAAGAGAAGAACGAGATGGTCAAGCAGGCGGAGAAGGCCAGGCGTGCAATGGTCGAGAACCAGATGCACACGGCCCGGGAATACGAGAGACAGCAGGCCAAATCAACGGCATCGTCACCACCCGCAAACGCATGGAAGCCTGTCCCTGCCCTTTCACCAGCCACCAATGGCAACACCAACGGCAACGGCACCTCCACTAAGCAGCCGTCTGTCATGCCATTACTTGACACCTTTGAGCCGACCCCTGCACAACCCACGCCTACACAGACCGGCAGCGGAAAGAAGCCGTGGATCAAAGATCTACCTTCGGAAGAAGAGCAGATGAGAATGCTCAACACTCGAAGCAGTGAGAACGAATGGACCACCGTTTCCAACCGCAAGAAGGAGAAGCGCAGCAAGGGCACGACCGAGTCCATGAGCGAAGCCAGCAGCTCAGAGGTCCAGGCCAACCCCATCGAGACCTCCTGGTAACTAATGACATGACCTTCCTTTTACAACTGCGGAGTAGTTAGCTACATATTGCTACTGCTACTGCTGCCGTTTTTCTTTTCTTTTCTCCTTTCCAAAATTCATATCATGAGACAGCATAGAGAGAGGCCTCCAACATCCCCCAACAAACACCCCAGTCACAAATCCACACCCATCCACCAACATATGCCCTTCTCCAAGCATCCACATTTTATTACAGGTCTCTTTTCCCTCCGAGGCTCCCCTTTTTTTTCAACTAACTAGTTCATGGTGTTCCTCTCAACCGCGCATGGGAAATATTCAGCCTCTTTCAATCCCGTCCAATTTCACCTACCGTTCCTTTTTTTTCTCTCCCTTCTTTATCTGCCTCTTCCTCTTCAGATCCAACCCGCTCTAACGTCTTTCCTTCTCGCTTCGACTGTATTTATTTATTGATTTTTTTTTCTGTTTCTCCCTCTTTGCTTTTTTGCTTAAACCCCCTTTTTGCTTTTTTCCCCCAGAGTCAACTCTCACCAACTAACCGCCGTGCTTAACTATCACATCTCTCAACTCGCATGTCGATGCTCGTCTTTTTCCTTAATTTTGGCTTCGTCCTGCATCAGCCAGACATCCTGACTTTTTTACCCCTTTTTCCTCGTCCTGCCGTTATGCTGTTTTTTATGCCGGGCTCACCCCTTGGCCTCCTCGCTTCTTGTATGTCTTAGTAACAGTTCAGTAGTGAATCATCTACCTCTCCTTTATCTTCTCTCTTCTGCTCCTCTGTCTGCTGCTGCCAGAACTCCGTCCTTCATCCTTCTTCTTATTATTCTTCTTCTTCTTCTCTCTGTATTAATCCATATCTTTCTAATATCTTTGACATCGACTTCGCTGGCTGTTGGTCCCGTGACTTGACGAAACGTGACCTTTGTCTTTCTTCTCTTATCGCATCCGTGGCTTTTTCAACTTCAACTTTCAACTTTCACCTTCTTCGCCTGCACCAAAAAACACCAGGACTCGACCTCGTCTTTCCGCGCAGCTTGTCTTGACCTCCGCCGCCGCGACGTCTGGCCCCCAATTTGACTGTCTGCCCGGCCGCTCTCGACCCGTGAGATAGCGTCCTTCGCATTTACTAGAGGGAATTAAGGTGTTTGTTTGTCCGCCACTCGAAACCCACCGTCATTGTTCAGGCCAATGCTAACCAGCCGAGAAGAACAAGGGTCCTCCTGCTTGTCCACAACCCGCCCGGCGAGGACACATATACACTACCAGGGAAGCAGACGACTCGATTCTGCAGGAAATCCTCTCTGCACTCCGCTGTCGACGCCTCTGATACCCACGTAGCTCTACCTCTCTGCCAGCAGCCCTCGTCGGACGCACGCACAATCCCTCTTTAACCACCGCATCTATCTCGTCAAAGATGGCCCAAATCCGCGGCACGGCGGGGTACAACCTCGGGCATCAGAATCCCTTCGTCGGCCCTGGCAGGGAGCACGCTACCAGCGACCCGAGTCCGTTGGATGCCATCCGGGAGCAGACCAGCAAGATTGAGGACTGGTTAGATACCGTCGCTGATCCAATCAAGCCGTATGTCCATTCCATCTCTCCGCGTGCAATGGAAGAAAAGTTGATTCTTCTTTTTTTCATGGCCTGTTTAAACTTATGAATATTGGTAGACATCTCCCGGCAATCGGTCGATTCCTCATTGTGGTCACCTTCTTGGAAGACTCGCTGCGGATAATCACACAATGGACGCCCCAGCTCGAGTACCTCCATCAGTTCAGGCACAGTACGTGAAAAGGCCGAAGAGAGAAGAATATTCTCGGTACTTTGAAATTGGCGGTAATGGTTCTAACCTATCATACAGTTCCATGGGGATTAACACACCTATTCCTCATCGTCAACGTCATCGCCATGCTTTCTTGTTCCGTCCTTGTCGTTGCTCGCAAGCACAGTGAATACGCTGTTGCTGGTCTCCTCGGTGTCGTGGTCGCCCAGGCTCTCGGATACGGTCTCCTGATCGACATTACCTTCATCGTCCGCAACCTAAGTGTCATTGGTGGTCTCCTGATGGTCCTCTCTGACTCCTGGGTACGCAAGAAGTTCATGCCCGCCGGTCTCCCACAGCTCGAGGAGAAGGACCGCAAGATGTACGTCCAGTTCGCCGGCAGAGTCCTGCTCATCTTCTTGTTCATTGGATTTGTCTTCTCTGGTGAATGGAGCTTGTGGCGAATCATCGTCAGCTGCATTGGTCTCGTTGCCTCAGTCATGGTCGTTGTTGGATTCAAGGCAAAATGGAGCGCGGTCATCTTGGTCGTTGTCCTTAGTATCTTCAATGTCCTCGTCAACAACTTCTGGACAGTACGTATCCATATTTCTTCTTTCCCCGTATCTCAGGTTCCACCTCGCTAACTTGGCTCTCAATAGCTCCACCCCCACCACCCTCACAAGGACTTTGCCAAATACGACTTCTTCCAGATCCTTTCTATTGTGTAAGTCTTTATTCACGTTGACTCTTACGTTTGATCTCATGCTGACCTATGTATAGCGGTGGTTTGGTTCTCCTTGTCAACATGGGCCCTGGACAACTCAGCATGGACGAGAAGAAGAAGGTATACTAAGCGCATGGCTCTTCTATAAAACGATACCCGCAGCCTCCAACCAAGGATAACAAAATATGAAAGGAAGACAAATGAAGAATATATCATGATGATGTGAAAGATGCCCTACTCTCTTACCATCCATCCACTTCAACGGCCAACTGCTAGAAAAGCCATTCCTATATCTCTTTTCTCCTGCCTATTTTTTTCTTTTTCCCATGTCATATCATGTATTCCACGTCCCGCGGGCCTGGTTGTCTCTTTTTCAATGCGCACTTTAAGCACTGCACTACAATCCTATTCCCATATTCCGTTTCCAGCTTTCTTGTTACATTCCAGTTCCTATTCCAATCTATATCAGTTGGGAAAGCCAGAGGGTCGCATTCATATATATATATCTACATCATGATCTATTGAAAAAAAAATGAATGAGTTGTACCATTTGTCTCTTTCTACGGTTTCTCCTTTCATCTCGTCTTGTCTGTTGCGTAAGTCCGTTCGGTTTGACTGTCATTTTCCCATTTTCCCATTTGCTTCTTTTCCTTCTTCCGCAACACTCATTACTACATCCCTACCACCACCGGCGTTTCTCGTTAGAGGCAAAGGACTAAAGACGGACAACGGTGCAATATTCTTTTCCACCTGAGACCTTATATCATTTTCAATAGAAGAGCTCCCGTACGGCATCTATTAATAAAAACCACCTCTTAAACCATCACCCAGATGTCTACCAGAAACTCCGAAAATAACCAGCCTAACTGATAGGAGCCACAAACTACCCAAGGAAACGATTAAGAAAAAATAGACGGAGATAAAAATAATAATAACACCTTCATTATAGCGAAATAAAGGAATTAACCAGACGAAACGAAGTGAATATATTAAGCCGAACAGGCCATTGAATATAAAAAACCAAACCAATCATCAACGCGCCAGCGAAAAAGCGAAGAAACCAGCCTGTTCGCATGCATGAAGTGAATTTCTCAAAAAAAAAGAAGTGGAGTCAAACGAATGCGCGAAGGAAATGAAATATGCAGATGTACGAACGAATCAAGACAGGCCAAGCTGTACTCATAGTGTGATGGGGTGTTGTGTGCAGCAAGAAATGAAAAATAGGCCAATTCGGCTAGAGGGAACGTATAGACAAGCCGATGCATTGTGTATACCGGTTGCATGCGATGTATAAAAGTCAGGGGTAGGAAACGGCACATGCAGCGAAGTCAAGTAGGCGAGGAGTAAACAAAGGGGGTCAGGCTGGGCCGGAGAAGGGATGAAAAGTATATACAAGAAACGCCCCCTTTTTTCTAACTCTTTATGTTGCTTTTCTTTTAAGGCAGGACGGCGAGAGAGAAAGGAGAAAATCGACGAGAATGGCTAGAAATCCATACTCCATCTGTAAGTTCGGATACGGTCGAATCGGTCGAATTCGTCATCGTCGAGCGTATGATCCGAGTCGTGGTTGTCGTCGTTACCAAGCTCTACGGTGCTAGCGAACGGTAACTTTGACACGCTTGAATGGTTTGCGGCACGGAGCCAATGGGTGTTGTTAGAGGACGGGGTGATGGGTCGGAAAGCCTTGCCGCTGTCAATCGTTTCTTTGGATGTTGGACGATGATGTTCTGTTTCATATTTGCGGTGCTGGCGGGTCCCCGAGGGTTGGAGACTAGGGAGTGAGACGTATGGTTTTAGTTCTAGTGGAGAAGCTGTGCTGGAGTCGTTGGATGGAGAAAGGGTGAGTTGTTGTTGTTGGTGATGATCCGACGATTGTCTGCGGACCGTAGTAGAGAGTCGGGAGAGAGAAGGTCGCTGCTGATCCAGCGATGGAGAGGTGTTTGAGAGAGATATCAATGAGTCAATGGGTATTAGGTCGCGGGATATAGTCGCTCCTGTGGAGGATTTGCGTGATTTTGTAGTCGGACTATACATGAGTGAGGCTGATCCGGGGCTATGAGCGGGAGACGGCCGAGACAGAGGGTGTTGTTGTCCACCCGCGTCGAGTCCAGCAGTACCCGGCGATTGTTTGACACCTCTGAGAAGCGGACTGCTGCTTGCCGAGAACCTGGAGGAAGTGTCTGCTCTGATCTTGCCCTCCATGACCTTCGCACTCGGCGGCGGCTGAAGCATCCATTGAATCTCCTCCTTCCTCATCAATGCGCTTGCAATTGGCGGGTAGACATCGTGAACTTCTGGTGGCGGATCGAGAGAGTACTTTGACGAGCCACGAGTCGCTACCCGTAGACTGGATGACGACGCCCTTGCGTCACACCCCCAAAGCAATTCGTCGTCTCGCTGGTACCGCACACTGTTCCACCGAGTAGCCAGGCGACTGCTTGCGGTATCGCTCTTCTTGTTATTGTTGGCGTCCTTCGATATAGGCAGGTCCTCCAGTACTCCGGTTAGCACTGCTCTCTCCGTCACAGTAGGCTTCTCCTTTTCAAGCACAGACAGGCTTTTCTGGCTCCCCCTCCGACTGGTAGCGTTGTTATTGTTCCTTCCACGTCTTGCTGGCGGTCCTGGCCCTAGAGCAATTTCCTCGCCCCAGTATCTATTCGTGCTGAACGGTGTTGGCTGGTAGAAGACAGGCTGGTCGGTAACGAGGGCATCCCTGCCGGCCTCACGTGCGCTCCGTGCTGCATCTCTCTTCCTCTTCCTTTTCTGGAGATGCTCTGTACAGGGAGTACAGGCTGCGTAGTAAAAAATCGCAGACTGGGCCCCTCTGAACAGCCACATCACCCTGTCGTGAAATGTCGGCCAAGTTGCTCAACCTCAGCTCAGCTCGGGGCTTCGCCAGGAAGGCAAGTCTGAGCAGCACACTGAAATATCTCGGAAAAATCTGCACATTTGAGCTGCGAATAGGGGCGTTTGTTTATGAGGATGAGGCGTCGCGAGTCGGGGATAATGGCTGGATAAGATGACAGGGCGGGTTGGTTTAATTGCACCTGAAACGTACGGCGCTACTTTTGGTGGTGAAACCTGCGCAGAAGAGAGGGGGCAATTGAGGCCGTTAGCAGAGAGTTAGCAGTGTGGAAGATAAGAACAGTTGAAACACGGTCAGTCTTCGGCCAGCGAATTGTGCGTATCATCCCCTTGTCGACAACGGGGAGAAGAAGAAAAGCGACACACGCTGGCGAGACGAGACGGGGCCCGGAGTATATAAAATAACACAAAATGTGTCCAGAAGAAAAGAAAAGACGTGGGTGCACTGGCCTCCCTGTGGCTGCCCAACCGGGCCACGGGGTGCCAAGCTCGCCAAGGCCTAGGAAGTGGCGCCGCGGCCCCACCAGACCCACCGCATCCCCTTTCGGCCAAGCGTCGCGTAGGGCGATCCAATCACATGTGGAGCTTGTTTGACGTGCGCCAAGCGCGCTTCTTGGGCGGAAGTCACTCAAAGTACCGCTTGGTAGACGAGATGAATACGGGGACGCGATACGCGATCATGCCCGGGACGGAGAACAGATAACATACATCAACGATCAACGGTGCTGGTAACGACTGGCGTTTAACGGCGACGTTTACGTGTGGAGGTGGGCCCCCTCAGTTTGAATTTAGCTTGAACTTGACGGACGCATGCTGAGCACCGCCTTATTTGATCACTACTCTATCACCGCTGACCTTTTCGGTACACAGTCGGCTGCCTTACTACATACTATCGTCCACGTAAGACCTTCAGCACATTACGCGTGTCTTGTGCGATCTGGGATTGGTGTATGACGTCGGCTGGTGACGAGGCTGACAGCTAACACGACTCTAGGTTGGACGCCATAGCCTAGCTCTCGAAATGCAGATGCGCAGTTGACGGGGCTAAAACAAAAAGGTCGCTAGCTAAAAGCTTTGAAGAATCCAAAAAATGACTCTTTTTACTGCCTCTTCGTTGCCCAATTACAAGTAACGGGTCCACGATGTCCTGCAGCTCGGGTTAGAGTGTCCCCTCAAATATGTATATTTCGGTCAATGGCTTAACATAACAGAAACCCGAGACCTCTCACTCGGTCTTATATATGGTGCTCTTCACCTGGGAGTATTGGAGAGTTAGACTCGCTCCTTACTCGTGAAGGGGCGGTGATGCCATCAACGTGGGCCGACGCTGGACTGCAGTATATCAAAAGAAAAAGAAAAAGAAGAAAGGTTTACATTCTTCAGCCGCTGTAGAGGAAGGAAGGGAGGAGCACCTTCCTTCACTCCTTCATTGTTTACAGTGATGTCTAATATGGAAGGAACATACCAAGGCATAGAAGGTAAGAGGCTCATCTGCTCCTGCTTCATTTAGAACGAACAAGCCCGGCTCGGAACCAACCTTCTCATTCCATACACTCTAAATGAACAGCACCAGTAACAAGCATACAAGCATATCAACCAACTGAGCGGCGCTCTAACTAACACTGTCAAAGTTCAACGACAACTAGATGCATGCCATCGATATACTTCGGATAAACACTACATCGTGGTACTTTGTGGTACTTCTGCCACAACGTGCCTTAAAACAAGGATAAGAACGCAAAACGCAAAAAGGGAGATCTTGTTCAAGGAAACAGGACCAACCAACAACTCGACATATCAAAAAGTTGTAACTCCGCACATGTAGCGACGCCGTGGTCTCAACGTCTGCATGCTCGCATCATGCACCTGGAGCAAAATGATCCATCCCGACTCTCTCCGTGAACCCCATGAGAAGACGGGTAGATCGAGAAAAGCTTCTTTCAAGGACTCGCTCTGACCGTGCTTGCTGTTCTGGCCAAACATCGCGGCCTTTTTATGCATGGGTTTGTTTCTCAGGGGCTCGACAGGCAGCTGCAAGCGGGCTGCTAGCCCGTTGCTAGCTTGCATTTTCGGGCTTGACCTGTCTACTCTCAGATGACCAGATGCGAACTGTATTCTAATGAACCCGGACTGAGCAGCCAGTAGTTATCGGTGCGTCGAGCACCGTCGCATTGAACTTGCACGGAATGCTCTAGAGGCTGGATGTCGCGCTTTGGACCCTCATTGAGGGGAAGGGAAGAATTCGGAGGCTGGCTACATACAACTCGACCGGGGGCTGCATTGGTGTCTTTCGGCGATGTAACCATAAACACATTGGCTGGGCTAAGGCATGGATTTTCCTCCGCGTATATGGAAGACTGACCGTCATTATATCCTTTGACAGACATTTTCCTATGAGAATATTGTTTATTGGTCATGCCATGGAATATCGATATCACAGAAAGTGATAGAGCTCGCATGATGCAGTCATTTATCAAATATAAACCCTAGACGGGCGACACCTCTAAAAAGAAATCTGCGGATAGAAATTCGGCTTTCCTCGCATAAATATTGCCGGGGCGGGGGCTCGCGAATGCAGATATCGGGGCAACTTGTTCAATGAAGCAACTCATCTAGTACATTCGATGCATTTGGCGTTCATTCGTCGACGGTGGAATCCGAAATGGATGAACATGGCAAAACGTAACTATATTTTGCTTAAAAGATCCTGAACTCCATCTCATTGCAGACGCTCTATATCTCACATAGCACCCTCTCAGATTATCCCGACACAACTAGAATGCTGCGGACCCTAGTTAAATGGTCATGATAGCCAGTCCGTTACTCGTGACCCATCAACCCAACCCTTGGATACGAACTAAGCCCGTTTCGATTTGATATGGAACGAGTACATTGCCGTAATCTTTGTTCCCCTCTTCTCGACTCAGCAGCCTCATCACGGGCAAACGGATGGAATGGCGGCTCGAAATAGGGGTATCAATATCGACTCAAAGGTCACCTTGCCGCCGCTCTGCCGTCCCAATTTAACACCGCCCAATGCCAGATTTGGCTTGCTCCTCATCTCGTCGCTTTTATATACCAGTCTATCACGCGTTCTTAGTATTCCTAACAACCTCTCCCTTGACCTTCGACCAGTCTATTTTTCCATCAATCTCCTCATCAACCTCCCCACAGATAACAACATTATCGCCTCGTATCAGGTAAAGGCCGTGCTCTACCTCGGAACTAGGTTCGGGGTCGTCTGGTGTCCGAATTATTCTCTCAACTGTCTGGGATAGAACGAGGTTTGTAAGTTGGTCTGTCGATAGAAGTGTTCCTATTAATGTGCGGCCATCAACCGTGAGGACGAGGATTTTTTCTATACAGGCAAGTTCATTGACATTAGTTGGTTGTTGGAGTATTTTCGTTGCCGGGTGTGTAATTGAACGTGTTGGTGGGTTGGTGGGTTGGTGGGCTAGTAGAAGAGAGACACGAACTGTTGATGTAGGATTGGAGGGACATAGCTACAACTCCTCACGGCTGGCCTATAGTTCTCTCGGAAAGGGAGACGGGCTCGCAGGCTCGCAGTATGCGCTTCTGGTATCTTTGGCTCCCGTCCCAGAGACCAAGTAAGGCCCGGTTTTGATGCGCGTGATGAGAGAAATATGCGAGGAGGTCAAGTTATTTGACTGAAGAGAATCGCGCAGTTGCAACTGTCGCCTCTCGTCAGAAGACTTAAGAAAAATAATACTGAAGAGTTCAAAAATTGTTCGTTTGGGGATATTTTGTCTATACGCGAATAATTTAGAGCTCGCGGCGTTCGTTGAGGAGCTTCGATTCATCTGCTGAGTCAGCACACCACCATGCCACCGCAGCGATCTATAGGAAAGACGTAGGAGAGAGACGGAACTTGAACACAGCGAATACTGGTCAACAGTAGTTAGATGGAGCTAAGACTGGGTAAAGAGAAAGCAGAATAACACAGTCCCGCCAGTCCATGCATCCCATGCAGTATATATGCTACAATTTGCTCCTAGGCCCAAAATATATCAAAGATGAACATGAAACCGTGGGGAAGGAAAAGAATGAAACAGAAGAACCCATCCGACAGTCCCATTTCATGACAAAGACGTTAGGTCTAACGGTACGCTGCTACCTCTACCGGCCCTGTACATCTTCTGGCCGCCCGTGAATTCTCTCGGCTTCGGGAACTGTGATTCGTTCTGAAATTTGAATCGGGGGTCTTCGATCCTTATTCTACCGTTGGATGAACCCTTTTGGGCTCCGGGGCGATGTGAGCCGCCGTTAGTGAGGGTATACGAGCTTGGGTCAAGCATGGAGCGTACGGGAGGCTGATGATGTGGTGCGTTATGTTGGTTATCTGAAAATGAGGAAGGACGAGAAGAAAGTGGTGTTGATACGAGCGAGGATGTTCGTGCTGATGACGGAGGTGAAATCGGCGGAGGAGGTGGATGCACCGCGGGAGCTGATGGTGGAGGAGGCGGAGGCGGGACTGCCGGAGACCCGAATGCATTGCGCGCAGCCTGCATGGCTATCGATGATGCCTGTGTTCCATTTGTGCCTGAGGGAGGCGCTGGAGGTGGCCTGGGTGCTGCCGATAGCGGAGGTGGTGGTGCTATGGGTGGTGGAGGAGCAGGAGATGTTGATGGAGGTGGTGGTGGAGGAGCGGCAGGCGCGGAGACCTTCCTTGACGCTGGAGGCGCAGGAGGAGGAGGTGGAAGCCTACCAGAGCCTGGCACTGGAGGTGGTGCGCGCGGCGGTGGTACCTCTGGTTTGGTTGAGTGTGTTGAGATTGCGGATGATGGCCTTGGAGCCGGTCGTGGTGGTGGTTTTCGGAGGTTGGCTACCAGTGGGTTGACGGGAGGTGTTGATGGAGCATCTTTAGATGGTGGAGGAGATGGTCGAAAAGTAGGTGCTTTGTTCGATGGTAATGCGCCTTGGGCGCAGCTCCCGTAGGAGGCAAGTATTCTTTCGAGCTTATTCTGCGCTTCAGAACTCGACAGATTACGATGCGTTGGACGAGGGCACCTTGTATACCTCCGCGCTTCTTCAGCTTAGGCATTCCGCCAGCAAACAACCCGCCTAGCTGGGGCGCTGATGGAACACCACTGTCACCCCCGGAGCCATCATTTCCAGCACTGTTACTTCTCAGTCTATTCGCAGCGCCTCCGGGGACAGGGGGGGCCAGCCCGACTGGTGGTTTAGGGGCCATCCCAGGAACCGGAGGGGCACCCGCAAGAGGAGGGCCTCCCGAGCCTCCGGACGACTTTGCAATAAGAGGTGCGGATCTGTCATTTGTAACGGTTTTTTTGAGCCTTGTACCTTTGGAGATATCTGAAAGGAGAGCACCCTATTATCACGAGTCAGTAACGTTTATCAGCCTAGTTGCCCAATATGACCGGACATAGGTTGCCTACCCTTGGAGGTCCGCCCTTAGGAGGTCCGGCAGCCTTCCCGGGCATGGGCGGCGGCGGCGGGGGGGGAGGAGGCGGCGGAGGCATGTTTGCAGTCAAGCGCGAGAGTTGTAACTATTCAGCTGAAGAAAGGCGAGACGTGACGCCGGCAAGAAGATGGTTGAATCATATAGCGGCTGTCTTGCAAGGGCTGTCTGTAGCCGGCTGTGTATATTCTGGTCGATGGCTATCCTTCTGCCTGTCCGTCTAGGCAGGTATAAATCTTCTTCCGGGTGGCCGTAAAGAAATCTGCTGGCTGACGACGTCTTGCGCGTCCACGTCGTTTAGAAACCCGCCGGAGGAGATGTTGATGTCAGATGCTGGGTTGATGCTGGCGTTGCTGAGGGTTGACTTTGGTGACGATGGATTCCTGTGGCGGTGCAGATTTCTTACATAAGCAGGTGCTCTTTTTCTTTTTGATGTCTTCGACGACGACAGGAAGAAAGACGACGGGACAGAGACAAGGAAGAAGCCAGAAGCAATTGAGCGGCCGGAAGAGATTTATGATGAAGCGAGTCGGCCTCCAGGCTCAAAGGCGAGTTCAGGGCTCGCTCTGCCAGCTTTGCGCCTTTTCTACATCCTCGATTTCACGGAGACTTACGCCCTTCTCACCGCGCGCAGCGGTCAACAGGACGAAGCCATGCGATATATTCAGCGGCAGCAGAACTGCTTTACGGCGGAATGAGTTGAGATATAGATATGCGTCTACTGTGGTTGCGGCGCAGTCGGCGGCCCATGATGATCCCGGCGTTCGAGATGTCATAGCGGAGGGTGAAGCGATAATATCAGGCACAACGATACCCTCGGAGGAGTCAGTCATCAGGATCCTAAAGCAAAGCCAGGCCATAGTCGATGCAGCTCAATCTGTTGAGACGGCGGAATCACAGACAAATACCAAGCCGAAGAAGGATGCTATTTCGTCTCTGCTCAATCTCGACGATGAAGAAGAAGCAGTGGCAGCGAGGAAGCCGTCTCGGACACAGAAGAGGGAAACTCCAATGTCTACATCTGCCACAGCCATATCAAACATGTTAAACGAGCTGCTTCAGGACCCAAAGGTGTTTATATCACCAGATATACTGAAACTCTATACTACAATCCAATGCCAGCTCAAGAAAGTAGACTATATACCCACCATTTTCACCCTTTACGCCAACAAGCCCTCTCCACGGTCAAGCGGTGGGACAATAACATACACCCCATCAAACCCCAAAAGTCCACAAAACGCCATTCCTCCTACCATTGCCAATGACGCTCTTGAAGTAGCCATGGAACAACGAAACCTCCCACTAGCTCTAGCTATCATAGACGCTGCATTCTGCACACCAGCATTCTACCGCTCGAAAATCATCCGACAGGCGTCATTCCCGCTGCTAGGCGTAGTAGCAACACCCCCTGCAGCATGGGCAATAGCGTCATACCTCTCAACTCTCCAGAATACCATGGATGTGTCGACAGCCAGGGGCATAGCTTTCTCCGCCATTCTTGCATATGTGACATTTACTGCGTCCGTTGGACTAGTTGCAGCAGCTACTTCGAATGACCATATGAGACGAGTTGTGTGGATTCCTGGCACAGCATTGCGAAATCGTTGGTTACGAGAAGAGGAACGCCAGGCTTTGGATCGAGTTGCGCAGACCTGGGGTTTCAATGATCCGTTTATGCGAGGCGAGGAAGTGGGTGAAGAATGGGAGTCTTTGCGTGAATTCATTGGCATGCGAGGGATGATTTTGGATAAGACTGATCATATGGAGGGAATGGAATAGAGTAAGTAGACTGGACACAACTCGCGCGCATTCACATTTTGTATTTATACCACTGTACTTCTACAATTAAAATACGGCACGCAGCATACGGAAGAGACAAAGACAAAGTATCATAAATCTCATGATATTTAACTTAGTTAATTTTTTTATTTTTATTTTTCAAAGATCAGAACCAAGCTACTGAAAGCTTAGTACACTCTCTTTGGTGGGGACATGGAAGCCTTGATAGTAAGACTTCCAACGTTCTGCCAGCCTTTCTTGAGCAGGGAGACGAGGTAGTTGATAGCCAACATGATGTTAGCAATGAGCTCATCCTCAGTCATACCAACGTTGCCGATAGCAACACCCAAGCAAAGTTCCTTCTTAAGCTGGAACTTGATGGTAGACTTGACGTCGTTCATCTTGTTGTTGAGATCCTCGTTGTGGGAGACGGGAGTGGGGAATTTACCAGCTGTTATCCCGTTAGCCTATCTTCATATTATCTGAAGATTTCTAGAGATGGTAGAGTACTCACCCTTGGAGAGACCGGGACCCAAGAGACGAGGAATCTGTCGGACAAGGGCGTCGGAAGCAAGGAAAGCATCGTACTTGCGAGCAAGCTTCTTGATGAGCTTCTTGTTCTTGTTGAGTTTCTTCAAGTCGTCAGAGGACATGGCATCGACACCGAGATGCTTAGCACGATCGATATCGTGCTGGTCACCGAGAACACTATCCACCCTGTCAGCCTCTTATCCCCTCATGGTTCACTTTCTCTTTATCGTTTGATCTTTTGTGTGTCGTACCAGATGCTCATTCTTGGGCGAGGAATGGTTGGCAGCTTGATAGTGCCGGAGAAACGCTTGTCACGTTGAGGGTCATAGTTCTTCAAGCCGATCTGGAGCTCGACGGTCTCAACGAAGTTTCTCTTCTTCTCGTTGTGAGAGTAGTCCAGGAGCTGCTGGACGTTGTTACGCACTCCGGCTGTTCATCAATCAATCTCATTAGCCTTCTCTCTTTTTTTTATTCATATGCGATTGACCACTTGTAGTCTAGTGGTAATTCCAAACTTACCGACTGTGATTTTAGACATGGTGAATACAGTCTTCCAGAAGAATACTTGAAAAGGATTCTTATGGTGAGGATTTGCGCGTTGTCGACCAGAAGTTTTTCCAATCTCGAAGTCGCTTTTTTCCTTCTTTTGGCTTTTGCGTATCGAAATGTGGGAAGCCCTAAGCGCTAGCCGCATTCAATTAGGGCTTCAAAAAGTCACGTGGAGATAAGAAAAACATGATAAGAAAAGTATATAAAAAGTCACAGGAAAGGAAGAAGGATTAACAAGTTGATGAATAGGATATAAAAGAAATAGAGTAAATGAAGTCGTAAGTTAAGAATATACATGAGACCAGACCATCCCTAGCGGCGGTATGGCGCGGCTGCCTACGCCATCAAGGTCGGACCCGGCATCAACAAGAGCAAACCCGCATCTTTTATACAGTCGGACAGCGGCTTCATTATCACTTTCGACTATCAGGCCGACATGCAACTTGGTAACCGACTTCCTCATGCTATCCTGCTTGGCAAAGTCCATCATATTGGAGAGCAGCATGTTCCCAACACCACGCCTGGTCACTTCCGGCAAGACAAACATCGAGACCGCAAAAGTCGTGGCTTCGGCACCCTCAAAGACACCCTCATCGTCAGGTTGCATCCAGGCCATGGATAGGAACGGATCCCAGACATATTTCATGCTCGAGTCAAACACCTTGGGGCCTAGAAGGACAACCATTCCCACCCATTCATGATTCTTTAGCTTTTCAATATCCCCTGCACCAGTCACGGGGGTGTCTGTATCATGATCAACGCGGAGAGCAATGAAAGTTCTTGACATTGGGTTCATGAGTCGCTGAGCCCACTGTTCCTCTGTGAAGCCACTCTCTCGTTCATATTTAGAGATAAATGCCTCCGGGTATATCTTTAGAGCTCTTAGCCGGCCGGATCGGTATCGGTTGCAAAGGACGGTCAGGTCTGACGGGGCAACTGGCCCCTTGGGCACTTGAACTATCTCCACCCTGCTAGCCATTTTGAGGAGTAGTAGACTAATTAACGGTTGATAGTGGTGATAGTGGTGATAGTGGTATAATGTGGTGTTTTGGCTTGATCGCCTCGAAGGGGACTTCCACTGCCTTTATAGAGATGCTTTCTCCGGCGTCGTATCGACTAAAGTGACTCACGGTAATTAGACTCATGGCAAGGATCGAATCTCGACGGAGTCATCCGCTTGTAGTGGAACCGTCGACCCAGGATCCCGATTGCGATCGCGTGGAAGCCGTTAATGTGACCGTAGTAGGTTTGTAACGGTGTATCGATATGACTCGACTGGATGGCTAAATGTAGGCAGTTCTTGGGTCTGCAAAAGTATTCAGAGCTACCTCTGGTTCTCCTATTGTAAGTAATTGATATCTAACTACTCCGTAGAGGCCTTGTCATTGACATCTGTCATCGACGTTCTCGATATTCAGGGGCTTTATATGTAAGGGGGAAGCCACGAGTAATCCTTGTGGTGGTTCTCCTTATCCTTACCCAGGGCTGTGTATATCTACATCTCAGCACCACTTCTTGTAGCCTTGTCTCTGCCAGTCGAAAGTGAACCATCTCTAGGGCGAATCAATCAATTAATCGACTAGCTGACCGTCTGTCCGTCCATCTACTAACAGTTGGAAGAAGCAACAAGCGGCTCTTCCTCTGCCAACTCCTGTAGAATCCTGCTGCCTGGAGTAACTAGTCAACCTGTCCTCTTCCAGCCACCGTAGTTTATAAAGGCATCAAACACAGCTTCTCTATCCTCTTTATCCTTCTTCTTCCTCATCATCATCTTCTTCATTATCTTCTTCATTATCTTCCGCCGTTGCTGTCGTCTTCACCCATCGCCCGCCGTCGACCGTTAAAAAGGCCCAAAAACCAAAGTCACGTTGTCTTTGGCTGGGGAATTTTTTTTCCTTTGGCGCCTTTCCTAGTTGAGCTTTGCTTGCCACCAAAAACCTCCTCTTCCTTTCTTCCTCCTTCGCCCGCCAAAACGACCGACCGTCAACACCACCAACCAACCAGACAGACAGCTAGACAGACAGCGAGATACCACCGGCGTTGCCAGTCAGCGCGCACCTTGACCCTGTCGACCGGACTTCCCCGTCTTCCTGTAAGTACAAAGAGCAGCAAGCAGGTGCAAGAGGAAAAAGAAAACCCTCGCCTGGCCCCCCCTGTGAAAAGGTGTCTTGTTCGGCCATCCCACCACCACCGCCGCTTCACCAGAACAACCAACGACCACCTCCCACCCAGCAGCCACGGCCAGCACCACCATAAAAGCCCGCTCTCCTCGTCTCCCCGTCTGCCTCGTCTACTCTATCCTGCCTGTCGATACGCAGAACACTTGACGCCGCCGTCTCTAGGCTTACGCGTTCGCTGGCTAACCGCAGTCACAGGCAAACCCGGCTCTCCCTTATTTTCCCGGCTCCCTCTCGCTCACACACCCGTCTATACTCTAACCAACAACCCCGCTGCGACCTCCATCAACACCGCCAAGATGGGTATGTCATTTTCGAAACTGCTCGATAAGCTATGGTTTGGCAAGAAGGAGATGCGAATTCTCATGGTCGGTCTTGATGCCGCCGGAAAGACCACCATCCTGTACAAACTGAAGCTTGGCGAGATTGTCACAACCATCCCCACCATCGGTAGGTTTCAATACCCGATATATATCGACAGAAGAAAGGAGAGGGGCTGACTGGCGTAGGATTCAACGTTGAGACTGTCGAGTACAAGAACATTCAATTCACCGTGTGGGATGTCGGCGGTCAGGACAAGATCCGACCACTGTGGAGACACTACTTCCAGAACACCCAAGGTATCATCTTCGTCGTCGACAGCAACGATCGTGACCGTGTCGTCGAGGCCAAGGAAGAGCTGCAGAAGATGCTCAACGAGGACGAGCTACGGGATGCCCTGCTTCTCGTCTTCGCCAACAAACAGGATCTCCCCGTAAGTCGAACCCTACTACATGCATACCTAAATTTATACAATACACATATATACTAACGTGGCCTACAGAACGCCATGAGCCCTGCCGAGATCACTGACAAGCTTGGTCTAACATCCTTGACACGACGTGCTTGGGTAAGCCTTGGAATCTTCTCCCCCTCCCTCTTTTTTTTTAACGCCTGGCTAATAAACCGTAGTACATCCAATCCACCTGCGCCACCACCGGAGATGGTCTCTATGAGGGTCTCGAATGGCTCGCCGGTGCCCTGAAGAAGGCCGGTTACGAGTAAACGCCTCTCTATTTAATGGTTAATGTGAATCCTTATATTCTGCAGATATTACCGTTGTATCATGATGGTGCAGAAACATGGGAGGAGGCTTGGGACACGGGACATTGTTTTTTTTTCATAGGTCTTGTTGCTATTTCCTCTTGATGCCCTGTGTGAAAACAAACTCTTCTTACCAAATCATCTCCTTTTCTTGCTTGTCCTTAGCTTTCTTCCATGTTTATTATCAGCTGTCTGCCTGATGCTGTCTTCCTTTTCTTCTTGTTCCTCCCCCTTTTTTTCTACCCTTCCCTTTTTATTCCCCCTTGCCACTTCACATATATTTGATAAATGCAACATCCAGGCTAAATGAGAAAAAAAGGTGTCTAGGTGCAAGGACTCTTATGCTTTCCTTATTGCATATCTACAATACCACTCCCTTTTCCTACAGACATGACTTGTTTACCCTTTTTTGTATGGAATTGCAATGCCTTATCTTATAGTCATGCAGGAGTTAACTCCATGTTTATATCCTATTCCCTCTCCTCTCTGATGTTTCCTGCTTTTATAAAAAGAATGATCCCTATGCCTCTATATCCTATCCCTTTTCCTTCCAGACGTATCTATCCATATATATATATCTACCCCCTTCCCCTACTTACCTTCCCCCTGCTCTGGTTTCTATAGACCCGGTCCAAACTGTAAAAGGATATCAAACTTGTTATGGTCTATCTGCTGCCTCACTTCTCTTCCCCCTGACCTGTCCTCTCCTAGGAACGCACCATGAAAATGGCTACTGTCCTCTGTGTCTCGGCGACACACTATCTGACCATGGCTATAAAGGTTCACCTTTTTGGTTGCCCTGACAGCACTCTTTCTCTCCTGGCTCTCCCACTACAAACAGTATCTGATACTTGTCCAGCTCTTATCAGGCCAGCAGACTCTTTCCCCTTTTCTCAAGAGGAATAAGAGCTTATTCCTCTTGTCTCTCTCTATCTCTATCTGTTCTTTTCTATCCCTTCCTTGATCTTCAAAGCCACATCTACCAACCTAGATCTGGTCTCTTTATTATTCTTTGTACTGAAACTCGACGCCCTAACTCGCCATGGCAAGCTGCATCTCAGCAGACTGCAGACCCAAGTCCAAAAGCCAGCAGCGAGACGAAAAAGAAAATTCATAGCTAAGCTCGACGCTGCTTCTAAAACACTCGAGGCCTACGCCCGTGACCAGCGGGAAACCCGCGTTGAGAAATACTCACTTATCAACGTGACGGAGGAGCAATTGGATCCCCAGGCCACACTTCACAAAAGTACCGCGACGCATACCAGGACTTCACTGATCTATACGGAGACCCCTGTGAGGACGTAGATGCCGAAAGCGCGGAGGATGGCGAAAGCATTGCTTCTGACTCCACCACTCTGTCTGAGAAGTATAACATGTTCAACATCTCGCACACAGCCCTTCGCATGGCTAGGGGATTTCCCGGGTGGGCTCCCTTCTATCCCAAGGGAACGCAGAGAGTCCGTGAAACCGAAGATTCAGAGTCTTCTTCTTATTCCTCGGAGAATACCAATATGGCTTACGGATATCTACCAGACATAGGCTACTGTGAGTCTACCTGGACTCCTCAGCAGACAGCTGATTCAGATGACGAGGAAGGGGACAAAGAAGAAGACAACGGCTCGGTCCAGTCCGTCAATTACTCTCCTTCTCCTGGACTGGAGCAGCCTGAATTCGGCCCTTTATCACTTTCCTCCCTCTCACTTCCGCATAGTCCAACTTACTCGAGCTCGCTGTATTCCCTATCCTCCTCTGAAGCATCTAACGGCAACAATAACAATATAGACTTTAAGCTAGAAGACGAGGAGGAAAACGGAGATAAAGACTCGATCATATATCCTAGCATCGAAACAGATGATCCAACAGAGCCGCCGACTACCCAGCCAGAGATAGACTCGGATGATACCCTTACTGATCCGGACGGAGAGGACTCGGCATCTATAACCGGTGGCAGTGACGATAGTGTACGACGCACCAATAGGCCTGTCAACCATCAGTTCTTCTACCTTCATCATCGAGTGACTAAACGAACTGGCACTGGTAGTGTTGTGCCGGAGGGTAGCAAGCGTATTAAGGTGAGACTCACCATCACTTGCATCTCCTTCTGTTTTGCTAACTGATATTGATACCTGTAGGTTGAGGAGCCGGAAGTAGAATAAGTGCGTTCTGATTGCCATGTCGTCTCGATATCATAACGATGGATACCAGGCATTTGAAGTGGAGATATGGGATTTCTTGCCTAACCGGGCTTCTCTTTTACGATTTTTCTTTTACTTTCTTCAGGCACAGGTCTTGACTTCTATTGGTTCGATAGTTTCCTAGATCTTTGGCTAAATCATGAAGGTGGTCATTTGGTTTTTCGGGATACAGAGAGGTCATGTTTTGCAACTTTAGGAAGCCGACGTTCGAAGCCCATACATTAGAAGCAGTTGACGATGGAATGATACTTCAATTTTTTACACTAACTAGTTGATACCTTAGATACTTTGCTTTTAGGGAGTGGGTGTAAAGATATGACGGAAAGTTAGGGAAAAGTTGCTACCCCCAAAATTGACATGATGCTGACCTCAACAGTTGTCTCCGCTGAATGGCAGTTAGTTAGGTCCTGACCTGTGACTTGATAAATCCAGCTCCCCCATCGACTCCACATCGACTGCTGTTCGCAGGTGTAGACCAGCGTGGTTCAATACCATTAACCCACCAGGAAGCAGCGTGAATGATCTGAACTACACTTTTCAACTCCTCCTTCGAGCGAGGGGCATATATCATGACAAAGCCCGTAGGCACGAGCCTAAACATCCACCACCAACTATCTCGAGCAAGCGGGTGCCGCTCACCCCATCCTCGTTCAATGACAAACTTGACATCTGCAGGATGGAGAGTCATATGAATGCTCCCGTCAATTGGGTGGGCATGGCATATTTCCCCGTTACATGTAACCCGATTTGGCAAATCAAGAGAGGTGAAGAGGCCGATACTGTGCTTCTCGAAACAGGAAGTCCCCTCGTACAGCCGGTCAGAGTTGGAGACAGCAAGCTTCTTGATTTCTTCTATCAGAGAAGCGTACATGCTGGGCGTGGCTTGTTGGGTGACTTGTCTGTGGGGAATGATTCCAGCAATCTTTGGCCGTCGTCCAGCGCGAATAGGGAGGTATTTCAGGATTCCAGTCTGAGGCTTCAGTGTCTCCGGTATATGTGGTTGTTTTAATGGGTTCCGGAGTGTGAAGATGCTCAATAGGCATATCCGGAAGTATCCCGCGGGGGTAGAAGGTGTCCCTCCAGGTCCTAATGAAAGGAATTCGAGATATCCAGCTCTCACTTTCCGGATGAACAAGAGAGCTACCAGTGTCGATACAAGCCAGATCGTCAAGCTGAAGAATGGTGCGTAAACATTGCTGTTCACCGGAGCGTTCTCCATGTCCACCTGGATTCTGAAATCAATAGGAGGCAAGGTAAAGCTCCACTGTATCTCTGTATATACCATCAGCTTATTGGACCAAGTAGCCATAGCTTAGTATTCCTTACCGGCGTCGAGAGAGTCACAGTGCACACCAGTAAGTAGCTCCTTCGGTAGATCAGCTTAGAGCCACAAGCAGAGGAATATGGACTTCGAGTGGAAACAAACAGCTACACTTGGCTTTCTCTAGGTCTTAAGATGGTATAAACGATAGAAGCGAGGACTCAAGTATCGGCAGCAAAAGAAAAACGACGTTGACGTATATATATATATGATCGGATTCTGCCATCACGGGATCTTTGATGGCGGTGCCCGAAATGGAAGTGGAAAGTCCAATCGCTGAACGAGACGAAAAAAAAAAACGAGACGAAGACGCAGCAAAGGAAGCCGAA